TGTCTCTCTCCTCCCAAACTCCAAAGGAAACCGGAGCGTCGCAACCCGGAGCCAAGAACTACATCGCCAAGGGGAGGCGAGGGCGCGGGGATGATGCGGAGGATGATGCCTCTGGAAGGAAATGGGTCGGACGGAGTTGAGCGGGCGGGTGGGGTGGGGGCTTGGAAGGAGGGAGAGGAGGGAGAAGAAGAGGGAAGGAGCATCTATAGGGAGAGTCGTGGGTCCCAGCCAGACTTTGGGAAGCTGGGATCCCTCACTGGGTACCTTTGATCCTTCACCAGATCTTGAGTTTTGAACTTGCCAGTTTGCCTGCCTTGTGTGTGTGTGTGTGTGTGTGTGTGTGTGTGTTTGCACACATACACTTTTGGCTTCTTTTGTACCATCTGAGCCTGACGAAGAGTCCTGGAGAACTCAAAAACTGGCCTAGTTTGCCTATCTAATAAACAATAATCATGTCAAGTCAATTCTGACTTACAGCAACTGTCTCCAGGATTTCCCCGGAAGACAATATTTAGAAGTGTTTTTCCCCCCATCCTCTTCTTCTCTCCTTCTTGTGCAGCTGGCCCAAGGCCACCCCGGCTGGCTCTTCTCCCAGGAGGCACAAGTGGGGAATTGAACTCCCAACCTCTGGCTCCGCAGTCAGAGACCTAAACCCCTGGTGCATCTAGTGCGATATTTAAGTGCAGAGACCTAAACCCCTGAGCTATCCAGCTGGTGCCTCTAATGCGATAAATATCCAATAAAAGTAGCGCTCAGCTCAGGACGACAGAGCACAGTGGATGCAGCGGACGGTCCAGAGACCACCCAAACTCCTTCCCCAAATAGGAGTGGAGAAATCAGAGAGGGGACGAAGTGCCAAAAGAGGGGTCGGACCTTCACACCCTGTCCCTCGCACACTGAACTCCACGTTCAGACCACTTGCAGGCCCAGACGCACAGCGAAACACAGGGCTGTTCGCCAACCATGACCTGTTTCTGATATTTAACGGACCGGCCTTGGGAGCTGGTTCTTGCCTGATGAGTCTTTGGGTGTTTTCCTGCTTCGAGAGCAGCAGCTGGATGGGCGCGTCGCTCCCTGATCGTTTTCACAGGCTCAGTGCTTGCCAGCTGCCTTCTGCAGTATCTCCTCCTTCTTCTTGGGATGATGCTTCCCAGACCGAAGCGTGCACCCCCGACAGTCTCAGAGGTGACACATCCCAAAGAGGTGAGATGGAGACACGGCAGAGAACCATGCCACACGTGGGGCAGAGAACCTCTGAGAGGGAACCATGGCAAGCTACAGGTTAAGGATTGGACGCTCAAATAGTCTACTGGTCTCTCTGGCCCCCACCCTATGGATGGCTGCAGGGGCTAGACATGTTCCTGGGTACACAGAAGTAACAGGTACACAGCTGTCGCACTTTAAGAAGGATGCCAACCAAATGGAGCAAGTTCAGAGGCTGGCAACAAGGATAATCAAGGGTTGCAAACCAAGCCCTAGGAGGAAAGACTGAAAGAACTGGGCACGCTTAGCTTGGAGAAAAGCAGTCCAAGGGGGGACAGGAGACCAAGACTGAAAGAACTGGGCATGCTTAGCCCGGAGAAAAGTCCGAGGGGAGACAGGAGAGCCCTTTGCAAATATTTGAAAGACTGTCATCCAGAAGAGAGGCAAGATCTGTTCTCGATCATCCCAGAGTGCGGGACGAATCATAATGGGCTCAAGCGACAGGAAGCCAGATTGAGGCTGAATATCAGGGGGGAAAATGTCTTAACTGTTAGAGCAGTACAACAATGGAACCCATTGTCGTACTGCTCTAACAGTACGTGGTGAGCGCTCCAATGCTGTAGGCTTTCAAGACAAAATTGGACCACCATTTGTCAGGTCTATGAGTGCTCCAATGCTGGAGGCTTTCAAGACAAAATTGGACCGCCATTTGTCAGGTCTGCTTTGATATGCATTCCTACATGGAGCGGGAGGTTGGACTTGATGGCCTTAAAGACCCCTTTCCGGCTCAATGGTTCCATGATTCCATGAAATGCGGTTGGACTTGATGGCCTTGAAGACCCCTTCCAGATCAATGGTTCCATGATTCCATGAAATGTGGCGTGAGATTCAGCTTCAACAGCTTTGAATGAGACAACTTCCCGTTCTTTATAACCCTGAAACCATCATTGTCCAGCCAGATGTTTTGGGGTTTGAAATGCTTTCAACAGAGTTTTGCAGGAAAAAAAACGAGCACACGCCAGGATTCCATGTGAGCTCAGAAAACTCATTGAAAGTGGTTTGGGATGTTGACCTGAGAATCCCTGATTTCATTACCAAAACTGGGGGGGAGGGGGGGAGGAAACCACTTGAAATCAAACTTAAGATGGGCTTGAAAATAAACAGACAACGCTTGTGGAAACTGTCGGAGCCAGCATATATTTTTGCAAAATAAGGGGAAACGGGCTAATTTTAATTTGATTTCCATAGTTTTTATAGGATGCAAAATGCAACTTCCTTGGGCCAGGAATGCTTGATGTATTCTGTTTTAAAAGCACACATAGTCCCTGTGAAAGGGATGCATGAAACAGAACTCTGTGTACATCCATCATCCAGTCGATTGCTTTGATACCATTTTGCACTGCATTAAATGGAACAGCAGGATGTTCTTTTTGCTGACCTACAGTCAAGAATGATTACTGATGCTTTTGTTTGATTAAGGACATCTTAGTGCATTAATGGTGTGTCCTTGAAACAATTAATAAGGCACAAATTTGCATACAAACAATCTGATTTTGATAAAGAGAACATATGTTTTTTTTTCTTTCCACACGGCACATGTTCCCATTAAGAGGGGTGAAACTGCTCTTCTGGAAGGCAGCTAACATGCCCTAAATTTTTCAGTATTTGTATTAATACGGAGAAAACCAGCAAATGGATTAAGAGGGCGCTTTCTGAAATCAATCCAAGAGACATTTCAATCAATTTGTCTAAACTGATTTTAATGATGATGGAAGGCCCTGCAGCCACTCTCGAATTATCATTCAATGTATTTATGTAGCACCTTCCCGATGCATCGAGACTTACAGAAGGAACAAGGAGCGATCTCTGCCCCATGGTGCTTACAATCTAAAACTTAACACAGAGGAGGCGCCAGGGGTACAGACAGAAGAGATGGATGGTCTTCAGGAGGTTTGCGCTTTTAACATTTCCACTTGTTCTCCTTCGACTTTAGAACAAAGGTGAGGAGCTTCTTCTAACCCAGAGGGCCAGAATCCTTTTCACAGAAGATCCCAGGGGCCACATTACAGCGTTGGAACACAAGGTGAGGCCAAAATTCAGGCATTTTTTTTTAAGTTTAAATCTCTTCTTGTCAGTGGCTGAGTCTTAAATGGAGGCTCCAACTTTTTAAAATGGGGAGAAATCCATTTAAAAGCTGGAGATCCCTCTCTGCTTCCATGGTGGTGTCATAAAGAAGGATGTGGTTGCCTGGGCAACCAGAGAGGGCCAAGCCGGGACTCCAGGAGGGCCGGATTGAGCCTCAGGGCTTCTAGTTCCTCACCCTTGCTTGAAAGACATGCTGAGAAGCCACAGATTATTGTGTCTGGCTTGGAGCATGAGGAGGCTCCATAATCCTCCGGTTTGGGAACGGGGTGCCTGCAGAGAAGGTCTCCATCCAAGCTGAGAGAGGAGAAGGGTTTTCGGGCTGCTCCGGTGTGGCCCCTCCAAGGAACAGCACCCCCCCTCTCAGGGCATGGAGCACTCCAAAGGGTTGGTGGAGTCGGGCAAGACGTTACAGTTCAGAGGCCAGGGGACGCCCAGGAGGGTGAGTGACCGCTGGCACCGCTGCTCGGCCCCCAGGCAGATGGAGCGGCAGGGCTGGAGGACGCCCCCGTCCGGCGTGCATTTGGGGACAAAGAGGCTGCAGATGAGCCGGCGGAGGTCAGGGTAGCACGAGAGGTCCTTCAGCATCTGTAGAAGAAGAGCAGAGCTGTAAGATGCTGGCTCGTCCGAGGCGCGCCCCGGAAGGCGGCCCTGCCATTTGGCTCCGCACGTCGCCGTGACCATGAGCCAGTTTCTAGATTATTGTGAAACATGGTGCGATCCAATGGGGGGGGGAACTAGCTCACATTTTGGACCGCTGGTGGCACCATGTGGTGATCGCATCATATACAGGAGGCTGTGGGTCGGTCCAGCCCTAATCCACGCCTGAGACAGACCTTTTAAATCAGGCAGTGGGGCTACTGTTTTGGAAGGCTGGGCAGGGGCGGTTCCCGCATGGACGAAAGGGTGGCTTTAAGGGAGATGGCTCCCTTTCCCAGTATGATCAGAGGTGATTCTTTCTCACCATCGATTCAAAGCAAAGCAAAGCAAAGCGTGCAGCTTATATACTGCCCCATAGCGCTTCAAGCCCTCTCTGGGCGGTTTACAAGTTAGTTATGCAGGTTACACATTGGCCCCCCCAGTGAGCTGGGGACTCATTTTACCAACCTCGGAAGGATAGAAGGCTGAGTCAACCTTGAGCTGGCTACCTGGGATTTGAACCCCGGGTCATGAGCACAGTTTTGGCTGCAGTACAGCGGTTTAACCGCTGTGCCACGAGGCCATCGGTTCCTTCACTCACTGCCTTGGAAATGCTGAGATTCAGGAATTATGTGGACAGGAGCACCAAACACCCTTTCCCCAGATCCGAACATTATTCTGCCAGGGAATAGTGCTGTTGGCATGCTAAGCAACTGCACCCTGCCCCGTGGAATTCCCTCTACCAAAAATGACAAGAGAAAAAAAACTTGGGAACAATCACAGCATTGGCACAAAAAAAGCAGCGCACCAGTGCGCAGAAGTCTCCAGATACACGAGGGCACCACAACAGGACATGAGGTAGCAGATGCATAAGCCAGCACTGGAGCCATGTGATCCTCCCCCTCCATTCTTCAGAAAGCCAATGGTTTAGTTCTAAAAGTTTCAGTTGCATCTCTCAGCACACAAGAATTGTATTGTGGTTACATGTTAGATGTGGTAAAAAGGAAATTCACTAGAGATTCTTTATAACTAGGGGCTTCTCTGGGAATAATACAGCAGGAAAAAGGGGTTGCAGTAATGATGTGATGGTATGTGATTTTTCACAATTGTTCCCTAGTTGGAAGCCCTCTTGGTTTGTGGCTTCTCCTAAGAGCCCAGCGTTCATCTCTCTGTCTCTCTCACTCTTCCTCCTCTTCCCCCAAAAGCCTTCTCTTTCCCCCTCCCTTCTGCTAAGACTCACCAGATAGTCTTGGAGTATCTCTTCCGCTCCTTGCTGATCTGGGATTGTCAGCCAGATGTTGGGAAAGGAGGTGGTGTTGTAGCTGAGCCCCAAACACATCTCCACCTCAATGGGCTCGCAAGAGGGTTCTGTCAGCGGAAGAGGAGAAGAGAACCTCCATGCAACCACACGGCCCGGGCACAGAGGCGTGTCTGCTCCACCGATCAGACCCACCACGTTCCATCCCAGCTAACAGGGCTTTTAATTTTTTTGGTGTGTGTGTGTGTGTGAGAGAGAGAGAGAGAGAGAGAGAGAGAGAGAGAGAGAGAGAGAGAGAGAGAGAGAGAGAGAGAGAGAGAGAGAGAGAGAGAGAGAGAGAGTTGCATGGAAGCAATGTGCCAGTGACACCCAGCTCTTTTTTAGATTTTATATTTTTTTCAATGAAAGACAAAGAAGAAATCCAGAGCTGGTTGTCTGGCTGCAGAAGCAGAGAGGGGAAGGGGCTAAAAAGTTGAGCTTTAATCCAAACAAAACCCACGAGTCAGTAGACAAGCTGGCCTGAGAATGGAAATGGTGCCGGTTACGGGCAGTGTGGCCGACCCTCTGAAGGATCCCATTTGGGGTCAGGGAATACTCCATCGTTTGGGTCTCCTGCACCTGTCTAGCTGCTTGCAATGGCTCAAATGAACACCTTTGGCCCAGCTGCAGCTGCTGTCCTGGTTGGCACCCATCCTGAAGAAAGTCGATCGGGACAGTAATGAATTGTTCGCCCTTCCAGCTGGTTGTAACAGGCCGTCAAGTTACCTCTGACTTACGGGTATCCTGTGAACGAGCCATCTCCAGAATGCCCTGTCCTCAGCTGCCCTGCTCAGCTCTTGCAAACGCAAACTGGTGGCTTCCTTTAGGGAATGAATCCATCTCGTATTGGGTCCTCCTCTTTTCCTGCTGCCTTCTACTTTTCCCAGCATGGCTTCCCCACCCCTCCCAGAGAACCTGGTCTTCTCACGGGGTGCCCCAAGCAGGACAGCCTGACTTTCAATCATTTTTGCTTCCAGAGATAGTCCAAGATGGATTTTATCTCCAGATTAGATTTTTTTTTTTTTAAGCACACTCTCTATGGGGCAGTCCTTGAAGCACGACTGCTAACTGCATCTGGTCTAAAAGACAGCCGCCACAAGGTCTGCTGCTGCTCAGCTGAGGATGATGACTTTATTTCTACAAAGAGTGGGCAGTGAATCTGCTCTTGAAGGGGAGGGTGGATCTTAGCCTGCACTTTAAGGGTGCAATAGAAGGCATTGAATCATACCCCTACCCCAAGATTCAGAACCCTGGAGAGCTCTTACAAAATGAAATCCAGAACAGGTTATAAATCATATTTAAAATCTAAGTAGGAATATTAATCTTTGTACTATAAAGAGCTTGGCAGTCTGAGGTGCTTCTGACAGAGCATAGCCAGGTCCATTTGGGGAGTTCACAGGAGGGCAAGAAGACGAACCATCATCTATGGTTGTTTTCATCCTCAGCATAATATAATAATAATCTTAATCTTAGAACCACGGAGTGGGAAGGGACCCTCTGGATCATGGAGTCCAGCTCCTCTCGAGGAGGCCCGGTGGGGAATTGAACTCCCAACTTCTGGCTCCAAAGCCAGACGCCCTAAACTACTGACAGAGTTAGACCATCTCTGAATGGGCAGATTGGGTTGTTTCCAGTTCTGACTGGGAGGTGGTCTCAGTCAGGGAACTGGACTGGGGAAGGAGAGAGCCAGCAGCCTCAGGAGGTGGGCAGCTGGCATGTGGAAATGGAGTCAAACCACGTTCATTGAGAAACAGGAGAGAGGTTTGAATATCACCCTAAATGGATGAAACATAAAGGAAAAGCCAACAGCCTAAAACTTCAGTTTTATGGGTTTGGTGAAGCTAGGGACTAACTCCAGAATGATGCGTGTCTCAGGATTTAGATCTAGGCTCAAGATTAAAGGCTGATGCTCGGGAATGTTCAGATCAATGGATGTCATGATATTGTTGCTACAACAGGACTTTTAAGTTGGCTGGATCATCCCCATATATAACAGATGGAGGGACTGAGGTAAAAAGGTAAAGGTGCCCCTTGACAATTTTTTTGTCCAGTTGTGTTCGACTCTAGAGGGCGGTGCTCATCCCCATTTCCAAGTCATAGAGCCAGCGTTTTTGTCCGAAGACAATCTTCCGTGGTCACATGGCCAGTGCGACTTAGACACAGAACACTGTTACCTTCCCCCCGAGGTGGTCCCTATTTATCTACTCGCATTTCTATGTTTTAGAACCGCTAGGTTGGCAGGAGCTGGGACATGCGACGGGCGCTCACTCCGTCGCATGGATTCGATCTTACGGCTGCTTGGTCTTCTGACCCTGCAGCACAGGCTTCTGCGGTTTAGCCCACCGCGCCACCACGTCCCTACAGCGCCACCACGTCCCAGAGGGACTGAAGGAAAGACCAAAAGGTTGTGGACCTGAGGCATTGTGATTTGTGGTTCAGCTTCTACTTGGCGTGATGGACTTCTGTCTACACTACTTGCTAAATTCTGGTTCCGTGACGGAGGAGGAAAACTTACGGAAAGATGGGTAGGAGATGCTGGTGCAGTTCATTTCGTCGCTCCCGTCCGGGCAGTCGTGCCAGCCGTCGCACACCAAATTCTGTGGCTGGCACTCCCCGTTTTGGCAGGCAAACTCCGAAGGGCCACATGTTTCTGGGGGTGGGTGGGTCAGGGGGGAGTGGAAGGAGAGAAAATGGCAAGAGGGACAGCACAAGTTATTGTGAACTGTGAGCCAGAGCACTAAGGAGACCACATAGCAGTGTACATCGGACATTTGAGTCCCCTTATCTGGAGAATGGTGGTCTATAAATAAGACAGAGAGACAGACTGATAGACAGACGGATGGATGGATGGACGGACGGACGGACGGATAGACACAGACAGACAGACAGACAGACAGACAGACAGACAGATAGATAGATAGATAGATAGATAGATAGATAGATAGATAGATAGATAGATAGATAGATAGATAGATAGATAGATAGATAGATAGATATGCCACACCTTGGATAAATAGGACCTTAGAACATTTGATTGTATTTTCAATTCTCTCTTAGGTTGCGGCTTAGATCAATCTTTTTGGTTCAAGCCATCTCAAAGGCCGTCTCTCCCATGATGAGCCTGCTCAGGTGTCAAGATCACCAGAACAGGCCTTTCTCTCCGTCCCGCCACCCTCGCAAGCGCACTTGGTGGGGACCCGGGAGAAGGCCTTCTCTGTGGCTGCTCCCAGACTGTGGGACTCCCTCCCACTGGAGGCCCGGCTGGCCCCAGCTTTGCTTTCCTTCCGCAAGCAGGCGAAGACCTTGCTCTTCCGACAGGCTTTCCCTGAATGAATGGCTGCCTGAGAGGGGTTGTTAAATGGATTGTTGTGTCTTACTGCTTTGAATGTGTTTTGGTGTTGTGGTTGTTGTTTTTTGTATGGTGTTTGTTTGATCCTTTCTAGGATTTGTATACTCATTTTTTTTTTAGCTTTAAGTACTGTCTTTTAGTGATCTAAGCTGCCTCTGGTTCTTTTTAAGGAGAAAAGCGGGGTAAAAAATATTATAATCAAACAAACAAACAATCAATAGTCCTTGAAGTCTATTTGGTGCATCTGCGAAATCTTTTAAACCCTATAATCTTCTGACTCTTAACATTGCTGGGCATTGTTTTGCAAGCGTTGAACATTTGTGTGTGCCAGCTCATCTCTGGGAGGGCTCTCTTTCTTTCGTATTCTGAGGTTGTGCAAAGCTCACTTTCGTGTTCTCAGCCTAGAGGAGTGACTCATTAGCCACCAAGTCCGCAAGTGCTGAAGTTTGTTTTTTTTGGGGGGGGGAATTATAACTTTTACTGAAAGAAACCTGCCTTTTAGAAAACGCTTTACAGAAACGCATACATCTTGTCCAAATAGGTAATTTTTGTATGAGAGGCTCTCAGCTAAGACCTCATGTTTTCAAGCCTTTGTCAAGAAGCGTTACAGCTTCTGGCCAACAAGTATTTGGTTAGGTTAATATTCTTCAGTGAGTGGCCGCTTATGCGTTTTCCCCTAAAGAGGAAATACATAACTGATAGAGGATGATCTTCCATAAATGAATATCATTGGACATCTTAGCTTCCCACTAATCTACTGATGGGAGTTAATGGTCGGGAGATAGAAGCCATTGTTTATATATTCATTGTCTTGGGCCCATCCATGGCTAACAATAAGCCATTATTTGAGTTCACCATCATTTGTGGCTGTGGTCTTAAGCATTCTTAAAACTGGCCGGCAGTTGATGAGGAAAACATGGTTTGTTTCATCTCAGGTTATAAGCCATTATTTGAGTTCACCATCATTTGCAACTGTGGTCTTAAGCATTCCTAAAACTGGCCGGCAGTTGATGAGAAAAACTATGGTTTGTTCCATCTCAGGTTCGTTGCTGGTTTGTTCCTCTTGGCCTTCTTGGTGAGCCTCTGTTTCAAACTGGAGAGTTCCCCTAGACATTGAGTCCAGTCGTGTCTGACTCTAGGGGGTGGTGCTCATCCCCGTCTCCAAGCCGTAGAGCCAGGGTTTGTCCGAAGACAGTTTCCGTGGTCACGTGGCCAGCGTGACTAGCCACAGAACGCCGTGACCTTCCCACCGAGGTGGTACCTATTTATCTACTCGCATTTTTACATGCTTTTGAACTGCTAGGTTGGCAGGAGAGTCTACACACTTGAACATAAATATGAGAAAAGGGACCTTAAAACTCCCATGCGTTTAACTTCCTGAGTCAAGGAAGGGAGAACTACAGCTTAGCATTTCCCAGATGTAGCTTGGAGTCAGACTTGAGTTTTTTTTCTTTTCTTATGATGATAAAATGAGATCCGCATGAGAATCTAATCCTTGGGGGGGGGGTGGTGATGCTTCCCTAAGGACTTCCACCCTCCCACCCCACTCCTCACAACAGTGGAAGGATTCATGCCTAAGGAATAATCAGTAATTATGGAATTCGGTAAACAAAAGAAACCCTCAACCGCCAAAGTATATGTAATCCCAGAAGAGGCAGGGTTTGTGAATAAACAAATACAGCTGTTCTCAGGAGATACAGGCCAATACTGCCTTCCCTCTCTGTGGCCCACATAGAGGCTGTGTGATGATTGTAGCAGGATGATTATTACAGCTCCTGGCTGAAGGGAACAGGAGACAGAGGTGTGTGAACCAGAGTCTCATACCGATCACAGCATTTGGTGGGTTGGGGGATCTGGGTTCGACCGAGCCAGAGAATGGAGCTTGGACTGCTCCATGTCTCTCAGATTGCTCTACCTCACAGGACTGTTGTGAGGATAAAGTAGGGAAGAAAAGATCCATGGAGAATCAAGGAGGGTGGGTCTCTTCTCCCTCAGATAAGAATAGACAAAGACTCTGTGGAAAGCAACAATGGGATTTCCACATTTCCTGAACTATAAATCCCTTAATTCTCCCTTGTACAAGTTCTACCCTGACTTACACACACCTTATGGATACCTAAATGTGACTCAAGTGGAAGATGTCTAAACTGGAAGGCACTGAAGTTGAGCTAGGCCTAGCTTCACCCAAGCTTCCTGTTCCTGCCCCGGTGCTAACTGGGAACTTTCCTTCTAAGCTTCCTGTTCCTGCCCCAGTGCTAACTGGGAACTTTCCTTCCGAACAGGAAGTTTAGGTGAAGCTAGGCCGAGCCAGTTGAGGCCTGTCTCCCAGGCGAGCCACATCTAGGTATCCATCAGGTGCAAGTCAGGTGGAACTCCCAGAATGGGAAATGATGGGATTTGTAGTCCAAGGAATCCAGAAATCTTGTCCCTAATGGGATGTTTTCCTGCCCCAGTGCTAACTGGGAACTTTCCTTCCGAACAGGAAGTTTAGGTGAAGCTAGGCCGAGCCAGTTGAGGCCTGTCTCCCAGGCGAGCCACATCTAGGTATCCATCAGGTGCAAGTCAGGTGGAACTCCCAGAATGGGAAATGATGGGATTTGTAGTCCAAGGAATCCAGAAATCTTGTCCCTAATGGGATGTTGTCACCTACTTTCCGTGGCATTGTAGGCCCGATAGGTAGCAAAGAACCCATCGTCTGCTATTCCCTCGTCCGCCACGAAGAGGACCGTCATGACATGCTGCGAGGAAGTCAACACAGGGGGCACCCTGGAACTGCAGAACCTGCAAAACAAGAGGGTCAGTTTGCCATTAAGCCAACAGACTTCCACATAACAATCCCCACATGGCCACTGAAACCCGATTTTTATGGTTTGCGGGAAAACGTGTCTGTTGAAACAGGTGTCTGCTAGTTATGACGGCTGACTCTCTGTCTTTGCTTATTTACTTCTTACAGTTATAGGTAGTTGAGCAACGAAAGTGTTCTCAGAACAGTACACACACAAAAATCACATGCCTATTGAAGTTACAGACTTATATCAATAAATGCAGAACAGGGCAAACAACTAATACAATTAATGAAGAACAGAAGGAGTGTGTGTGTGTGTGTGCGTGTGTGTGTGTGTGGAACCACCCTGTGGCTAAACCACTAATATAAAGAGAATTGATCCCCCCCCCCCGGTGCTTCAGTAATGCAACTGGATGAAAATATTACAACTGTCAAGATAACAGACCCTCAAAAAGGGTGGACAAAAAGTGATTTCCCCCTAGTACTGAAAAAATGTCTATAGGCTTACTCGATGACCCTCGTTTGAGACTGGAGGGAATTGTTTTGAAGGGATAAAATCAAGTGGATGAAGAAGCCAAAGGAAGGAAAACGGAGGGCACGGTTTGCAAACGGACCATTTTTGTCGGACTACAAACCCCAGAATCCTCTGGCTGTCGGGGATTCTGGGGTTTGCGATTCCATTTCTTTTTCACACTTCCCAGCCATGAACAGAGGGGTTGGAACTTGGATTTCATTCCTATCTCTCACGATCCGTTTGGACCATCCTCTCTGGAAATGTCCGAAATCCTCTATGTTCAGGAAAAGATCCTCATTTGAGCTTGGGTGTTTTTTTTGGGGGGGGGAGGAAGGGCACCCCCCCTCAAATCTGTACCTTCCCATCATGCTCGTTGTCCCCATCCCAGCGCTGTCATACACCTCCACAAAGTCGTAGTTGCATTCTTCTTCCGACTCCAGGCTGAAGTTTCGGAAGTGTAAATCGATGATGTGACCGACGGGCACCGTGATGTGCCAGAGGCACAGCTGGAAAGGAAAAGTATCCCTTTGACAACCGGGCAAGGCTGTGCCCCCCAAGAAACCAGTGGGTCACCACCGCCTCCTCTGTCTAGGACCCACCCTGGCTAGTGTGGAAGATGGGGCTTGGTCTTCCGGCCAGCTGAAGCCCCTCCACCCCACTCACCTGAAGATGTGGGTATGGCTGAGGGTAATTGGGGGAGGAGAACTCTCCCTCCAAGCTGCTCAGGACCCCCCCACAACCTGGAAGGAGATCAAGAACATCAGTGGAAAGGCTGGGCAAGCATCCATGGCGCAGAAATCAAAACCATCTTGAACTCCAGTCTCTCTCTCTCATTCCTTTTCTCTCCTAGAGCGTATTTTTAAAAAACTTCCTCCACAGTCTGCCAATTTCGTAACGTCGATCTCGGAAGAAGAGTTCAGGGAAAACTTGAAAGCTGGTCATATTTGTCCATCTCTAGTGAGCCAGCCGATAAAGGCACCCCTCCCCAACCCAGACCCTGGTTTTAGACTCCCCTGTGCTTGCAGTGTAGTTGCGGCCAGGGCTCCATCCGAAAGAATTCCCGGGAGAATTCTGTTGGAGTTTTTACAACCCTGCATGCTGCCTCTCGTAGGTGTGGCCGGGAGGGACCTTTCCTGGCTGGGCTGGCAGTCTATCTATTGAACAGGGACCAATTATTCCCTCCTGCCTCTGATTTAAGGAACGCCCTGCCTCCCTGCTCCATCTCCTCTCCTCCTCGTAGTTCTGTTGGAAGCAGTAACCCTGTGGAGCGCTGGTTACTAAGGAGCAGTGGGGAAAACATTGATGGACTTCCCACCTGGAGGCAAGGGCTTTGGAACACTCCTAACCCGCCTGGCCTTTGGCTCTCAAAATTTTGCACAAAAAAAGCAACGTATACATGCACTCGACAAAGAAGCAGCTCTCTCCCCCTCTGAGCCATGGAGGCCTGTAGGCACCTCTTAGCTGAGCCTGCCTCGCTGGGCCGTTGTGGGGAGAGGGTGCCATTTCATCCTGCTTGGAGCTTCTTGGAGGAAATCAAGGCCGCAAATTTTCGAATAAAAAGCAAATCACAATTTGGTCTTTACTGCTTCGCCAGGTTAGGGTGTGTTTGCCATGCTATGGGTCTGCCCCCTTCCTCAGGTAGACTGGCTCCCCACACCCGTGTCACTCAGCCTACCTTTGGGCTTTGTGCTGCAGTTCGCTTCATCCTTTTTGTCCTGGCAGTTGTTATAACCGTCACACACGTATTCGGGAAGGAGACACAGCCCGTGGTCACAGAGGAACTCATTCCAGGAACAGTTCTCTAGAACGAGACAAACACCCCTGGAGGACAAGAAGCTGAAAGGATTCAAACCGGCTTCAAACTTGAAGCTTTTTTTGTTTTTGTTTTTGTTTAAAGCAATTAGTTACATTTTAGTTCCAGGCTTCGAAGTAGTTATCATTACTGTCACTGCTTGGAAAAAGTCCGTCCCTTCAATCCAAAGTATCCACAGTGGTTACTTTTAAGAATTCTGAGTGCAGCAGTGTCAGGCAGAGCACAAACTGCCTCTTGAATAATGTCACATTCTTCCTCCACTATTTAGTTCGGTTACTCATGGATAACAACAAAAGTAACTGAAAAGAATTGAAAGTTGTATTTGAAAAAAGAGAGAGAGAGAGAGAAAGAGTGTGTGTGCATGTGTGCGTGCGCGCGCGTGTGTGTGCGTGCGTGCGTGCTGTGGAATCATTTCCAGCCAATGATGAGTCTATGAATTAATGACCTAGAAAAAGTGTTGTAATTTACAGCCCTCTTCAGGTTTTGCAGAATAATAGTCATGGCTTCCTTTATTGATTCTGATCCATCTCAAATTCTTCCTCTTTTCCTGCTGCCTCCTAGGTTTTCTGGCATGATTGTCTTGTCCTTTCCTATATGACAGTCACATTTTAGTCCTCAGTGTGGTTTAGTGGATAAGCTGACAGACGAGGACTCTGGAGAACAGGGTTCGAATCCCCGCTCAGCCACTCGCTGGAGGAGCGGAACTGGTAAAACCACTCCTTAAACACCTCACATACCTTGAAAACCTCACTAGGGTTGCTATAAGATGGTTCTGCCCTGATAGGACATAAAACAACAAGTAGTTATTTGTAACTACCTGTTTTCACGGGCTTAGAATCATGCTGTCTTCCAGCTCCCAATCCGTGGAGTGAATAGATTCAGACATAAATGTCTGTAAAGATATATTTTCATTGCCCGGGTGAATCCTGCCTTCTCTTTCTCCCCTCCTGGTAAACGGGGCGCACTTACTTTCGTTGGGCGCAATGGCCCGATAGCGAGCCGTGAAGCCCGACGGTGCAATGTTACTGTCCGAGACAAAAACGACCTGCAGCCGGCTGGAGTTGGTGTTGATGGTGGCGGGGGCCACGGTGCCACAGTACCTGAAAAAGCCACGTGGTCAACGAGGGGATAAAGGAAAAAAACCCAACAGCTGGGAGTTTCCCCTGGCTGCCTAAGAGAGAATAGATGTTGGCGATCCCAAAACATTAATTCTGGATGTCCTATTATACAACAGAAGGTGTGTTTGCTTCTGTTGGCCCTAAAGTAACTAATTACTTTGGATGGACCACAGCCAGTTCCATTTCATCGGGAGCCTTTGTTTATTTGTTTATTTCCATCTTGAATTTCTAGGTTTTTTTTTTTAAAAAAGAATAGCCCTCAGAGCAGATCATAAACATCAGAAAAGAATCCCACAACTAAGTCAGAATTTGGACTCAGCCCCCCCCCCACCGGGCTGGTTCTTGTCTAACACCGTAACCATTATGTCAGACTGTCTGTGACCCCCAGCGACCGTCAATCAAAACTGCGCTCCCAATGAAAAAAGTTCGAATCAGAAGTTTCGAAGTTCATACGAGAAATTCAGAAAGGGTTGACGCTCAACAGCTTGAACGCCAGTCCTGAAACATGGCAGCGTTTTGTTTTGGTTTCACCGGGCTGGTTCTTGTCTAACACCGTAACCATTATGTCAGACTGTCTGTGACCCCCAGCGACCGTCAATCAAAACTGCGCTCCCAATGAAAAAAGTTCGAATCAGAAGTTTCGAAGTTCATACGAGAAATTCAGAAAGGGTTGACGCTCAACAGCTTGAACGCCAGTCCTGAAACATGGCAGCGTTTTGTTTTGGTTTGTTTTGTTTTTTGTCATGGGGAAAAATAAATACTGACATAAACCTTCTTGCTCGTAGGAATTCCTCACTCGTGGCAATTTCCAGTTCCTGCCACGAGAGGGACACAATCATAAGTCATGGTCACCGTGTGAAAAACATTAATTCTGGATGTCCTATTATACAGCAGAAGGTGTGCTTGCTTCTGTTGGCCCTAAAGTAACTAATTACTTTGGATGGACCACAGCCAGTTCCATTTCATCGGGAGCCTTTGATTATTTGTTTATTTCCATCTTGAATTTCTAGGTTTTTTTTTTTAAAAAAGAATAGCCCTCAGAGCAGATCATAAACATCAGAAAAGAATCCCACAACTAAGTCAGAATTTGGACTCACCCCCCCCCCCAAAGCCTGGTTCTTGTCTAATACCATAACCATTATGTCAGACTGTCCGTGACCCCCAGCGACAGTCAATCAAAACTGCACTCCCAATGAAAAAGGTTCGAATCAGAAGTTTCTAAGTTCATACGAGAAATTCATAAAGGGTTGACACTCAACAGCTTGAATGCCAGTCCTGAAACATGGCAGGGTTTTGTTTTGTTTTGTTTTGTTTTTTGTCATGGGGAAAAATAAATACTGACATAAACCTTCTTGCTCGTAGGAATTCCTCACTCGTGGCAATTTCCAGTTCCTGCCACGAGAGGGACACAATCATAAGTCATGGTCACCGTGTGAAATTCACAAACCAGTCAACAAATACATTTTTTAGATGACTATGGAAGAAATTTTACTCTTTCCTTCCTACTAAGCTGTGTATACCTTGTAGCTTGTTATTGTTTATTGTTGTTTTGAGAACAAAATGGCAGGCAACAAAACAGATTCCAAGCAACTATCTCAGCATATTCTGTTCCACTGGTTGGGCTGAATTAGCATTTTCCTTCCTTCCTTCCTTCCTTCCTTCCTTCCTTCCATTCCATTCCATTCCATTCCATTCACCACTGAAATATATTAAGTGGGATGATGACTCCCTTCTTACCAGGTGCTCCCGTCCCACAAAGAGGCACCGTCTTGTTCTTTGTATATCTCCAGCCGGTCGTAGAGACACGAGGCCGAATTCTCCACTTCCAGCACTTCCACCTTCAGCTGGATCACCATCCCTGGTGTCACCTGGATCTGCCATTTGCAGAGGACGTCGGGAGGGTAGGGCTCGGGGTAGTTTGGGGAGCTGAAGGAGCCTTCGGGGCCGTGAAGGATCCCCCCACAGACTGTGACAGAGGGAGAGGAGAAAAAGAGCAACCCTAAAACCACTGAATTGTGGGGGGGAGGGAGACTGTAGCTGAGCCCAAACTGGGTGAAGAGATGCAGTCGTCTGTAGAGATGGGCGCAAACCACAAAATGGTGGTTTGTGGCTGCCTACAAACCTTGATTTGTGAGGTTTCCAAACTTAAAAAAGAAAGTTTGTGCCTGAGGGAAGGGAAAATCCCCCCCCCCATGCAGCCTCCCCCCCCCAGAAGCCACTGGATGGGCATGTGGCATTTTGGAGGTGTGCATGCTGTCCGTAAGTGAACACCTCCAGGGTTTTATCATTTCCTAGGGGTAATTTCGAAGAGCGGCGATGGGACCAATTGCGTTTTCCAAAATCCTGGCATTTCAAGCAGAGGGCTTCTGAGTGCATGCAGAGTGCCCTGCTGCTTACAAGGGGGAAAAGGAAACCTTTTTCAAAAAATGGTCCTGAAGTCTGGAGCATGTGCAGAGTGTTATTCTCCATGGGCATGGACCAATTCTGCAAAGAAGCTAATGTCAAAGATGGCACCGCCCGCCCTCTTTATTGTTAATTGTTCTGTTTGATAGAAAACAGGTACCCACAGACTGTGTCCGAATCCTGCCTTTTTCAGGGCTGGAGGATGATGCTCGGAGGACCGCCCTGGCTAACACAGGACTTACACACTCACACCCTGGTGCAGCGTCAGTCACAACAGGCTACTCACGAGGTCCTGGCGTTGTGCTTCCGTGCAGGTTTTCGTGGGTCGGTGTGGTTGTGGACGCCGGGCTTGGCGAAGTGCCGGGAAAAGGAGACGGAGTGGCGTTGGGGGTGGTGTGGGCATAGGACGCCTCAGGGGATGGCTTCATGGGACGGACAGATTTCTGCTCTGCTGCCACCAAAAATAAAATAAAATACATTTTAGGAAGAGAGACAGAATTTAAAGGGAGGGAAGACTCTCCACCCCCCCAATTACAAATCATTTATTGGAGCGGAACCCAGCCCATTCCCCCCCTCCCCGGCTAAGGAGGCATCCTTGAGAAGTCTTGGTGCTGAGCACTTACGAGAGACAATGATGATGCCCACCAGTAATGCTAGAAGCAGCAGCAGGATGGTGCTGAGGATGGCCACGCAGAACCAGGAGAATTTGCAGTCTGGTTTGAACTTCCGGCTTGTAAAATAAAATACATTTTAGGAAGAGAGACCGAATTTAAAGGGAGGGAAGAGTCTCCATTCCCCCAATTACAAATCATTTATTGGAGCGAAACCCATCCCGTTCCCCCCCCCCCCCGGCTAAGGAGGCATCCTTGAGAAGTCTTGGTGCTGAGCACTTACGACAGACAATGATGATGCCCACCAGTAATGCTAGAAGAAGCAGCAGGATGGTGCTGAGGATGGCCACGCAGAACCAGGAGAATTTGCAGTCTGGTTTGAACTTCCGGCTTGCCACATCCCGCACCTGTTGAGCTACAGGGAAAAAAAAAGCAAGCAAGTGCACCAAGTCACCTGGACCCACCCAGAGCAGCTTGTCAATCCTTGCCACCCCATCAGAAGCCCAGAAAATACTTTATTCTGCCGGGGAAGATCATCTTATGTCTCTGCTGGAGCTTAGAAAAGTCAGGGTTTTCTGGTAGGACCCCTGTGTCTGTAAGGGATTGATTCCGCCACCATCCTGCAGATGTTGAAAACTGTGGATAATAGTGAACCCTATACATCAGTGGTCCCCAAGAAAAAAAAGCAAGCAAGTGCACCAAGTCACCTGGACCCACCCAGAGCAGCTTGTCAACCCTTGCCACCCCATCAGAACCCTGGAAAATGCTTTATTCTGCCAGGGAAGATCATTTTATGTCTCTGCTGGAGCTTAGAAAAGTCAGGGTTTTATGGTAGGACCACTGTGTCTGTAAGGGATTGATTCTGCCACCACCCTGCAGATGTTGAAAACTGTGGATAATAGTGAACCCTATTATACAACATATAAGAAGGTGGGACAAAGGCCACAAGTGGGCAGGACAAAGGTCACAAGGACCACCCCGTGAAGGCTTCTGGGAGTTGTAGTCCAAAAACATCTGGAGGCCCAAGGTTGGGGACCACTGCTATACATAGCCTGGTCTCTGGACCCCTCTAGTGACAAGTTCTGGAAATCACATTACGGAAATACATTTTTTCTGTGTCTTCTCTTTTAATATTTTTAATATTTTCAGACCACAGATAAGTGAAACCATAGATACCGATCCTGTGGATATCTAAAGGAACTCTTCCATGAAGATCCGAAGCAAAGCTTAAATTCACACTAAGTTGAAGTCCTGTTTGTCTGTTTCCTCTGAATTTGCCTGAAGGGGAATTGGTTTTATCAGACAACGTAAACAGGGCTTTAATTCTATATGATTTGTAGAAGCTCTATAGGAATTGCATTTACGTATGTTAAAGTATTAATTTTCCAAGACTCGCTTTGAACCCATTCGACGTCAGCTACTCTTACAGGGTCTCCAGAGTCAGATCCTCCAGAGGTTTAGCCCCATCCCTTCCCACTGGTTCCGACCCTCCTTTCCATACCGAAACCGTTGGCGGTGACTTTCATGCTATTTGGATTCTCGGCTTCCGGATCCTTCTGGGCCGGTGCCTCCCCATCCTCCTCAAAGACAGGATTGGAGAATTCGGTCAGCAGGAACTGGGGTGAAGATGGTGGCGTCAATGGGCTGGCGTTTTCCTGGGGAAGACCAGGCAGCAGTGAGACACAGGCCCACCCAGGGTCACCTCGGGGGAAAAGACGCAGCTTGGAAAAGCTACTGCTTTTGGGGAACTCCGATTCAGAGAACCCAGCAGCAACCAGGCTGGGTGAAGGATGCATGAAGATATAGTTTTTTTAAAAAATTAAAAAGCCTTTCCCCAATGTGATGGTAAAGAACTAATGGATAAGCCTTTTGGTCTTGAAGGCGGTGGAATGGAAGATGTGATGCTTCACAGCCTAACAGCTTTGTCATGTGTATATATTTCTTGGTGTGCCCTTCTTTATGATTGTGTGTGTGCATAAAAGAGAAGGAGGGAGGGTGTGAACATCAAATTAAGCCTGAACTGTCTCTGGTGATAAAAATGTTGAAGCTGAGGATTTTGGGCACAACATGAGAAGGCAGTATTCTCTGGGAAAAGACCATAATGCTGGGAATGGTGGAAGGAAGCAAGAAAAAGATGAAGATCAAATATAAGATGGATTGACTCTCTCAAGGAAGGCATAGCATTGAGTCTGCAAGAGCTGAGCAGGGCAGGATTTTTTTTTTTTGAGATCTCTCATTCATGGAGTCACCATGATACAGAAGCAGCTTGACAGCACCCAACAACACAATATTAGGGGTTGAGCCAGATATGAAGATAATGCACTGAGCCTGTGTGTGTTCTCATCTGAAGCTGACTTTTGTGCAGGAGGAGAGACAAAAGGCAGACACAAGGAAATCACACACTTAAAGGCAGCATTGCATCCATCTTGCATGTCATTTGGCCTTCTGATGCTGCCCGGCCTGGCTTCTGGAACAACTGGTCTGGCCCAAGGCAGTTTGCAGCCTGAGGCAGTAATGGTACTCCCAAATGGTGGATGACACTCACTTCCCCACTGGCAAGTGAGTAACGTCCTTCAGCCTGCTGAAGAAGAGTGGACTAGCTTAGTGTGTGCAGAACAAGTTGTGTGGCTCACACCACTTTGTCTCCTAAGTGGCCAGAGACGTTAGATGGTATGGCTAGAGATCGGCCCCTTCCATCCTTCCAGGATCTGCTGCTAGAGGCAGGGACTTACTTATTCTGCTCAGCCCTGAGGCCAGCACTGGTAGAAGGGACATCCTGGGCAAGGAAAAGCTACCGGCTGCTTTTATGAGGTCTAATGGGATCCCTTGGAATCTACGAACGATCTTTCCGGTGGGAAAAAAATTTGGCTTCACTGGTGTCCATTTCCTGAAGGTGGCGACACAGCATGAATTGCAGACTGTCTGTGATATTGTGTGACCTATCCCGGCCTTTGGAAGAGAGGCTTTTTTGAACCACAACTCCCAGTATCCTGGGGGATTTGGGGATTTGTAGTCCGTAAAAGCAACTCTTCTAGTCTCTGATCTACTCTAGCATCCCCTGAGGTGTGCTTGATTCACTGAACATGAGAATTTGCTCTGGATTAGCTGTTCTCTCATCCTTTGGCTCTCCAGATGATTTGTCCTCTTCCTTCCACCCGCTCTGGCTAGCCATAGCCAATGGTCAGGCCATCTGGAAACAGAGGTACCAACAAAATGGAGGCTTCAAAATGGAAGAAGTGCCTTGTTGAGCCCCCCTAGACCAGTATCATCTCCACCTAAACCCTGAGCATGAGATGGTCCACCAGAACGTGGCCGGCAGTGACTGTCTGATTGTCCACTCTCTCTTGGAGGAAAATAACCTGGATTCAAAAACCTGCTCACCTATTACATCTCCCACTGGGTAGACCTTGAACCCTTCACCCCCACTTGGATTAACCTGCTTCCTAGGGCTATTGTGATGATCAAAAATGGGAGAGACTACACGTATATTTGCTCTGATCTCTACGGCCCGATGACAGAAGGGAAAAGAGCACATGACTAAACGACTAAACAACAACACATATATTTGCTCTGGTCTCTACGGCCCAAAGACAGAAGGGAAAAGATGGAGAAGAAATGAATGCATAAGACGAGAAGGCAGCTGAAAGCACTTAACCAAAAATGCAGGCTTCTGCCGTTTTCCCCTCTAGCATTCCATTAAAACCTAAGCACGAAATCCTGCTTAGAATCTTTAAAACACTTGGAATCTCTGGTTTCCAGGCAAAAAAACCCCGGAAACACAGTTGGAAACTGCAAATACATAACTGTGCCTCCACCCTCCTTTCTCTCTCTGTTGGGTTGATGTTCTTCAAACCATTAACTGTGGCTTCTATCGGGGAAAAAGATAGGCTGGGTCCATGTTCACATACTTTCACAACGGAATATTTGGTGTTATTTTTAGAAGTCGCCGCCACAATGAGAGCAAACATTTTAACATTAACCCAAACCGTAAAGAATAATAATAACCTACCGCAATCGGGCATCAGCTCTATCTGATGGCAGAAAGAAAAAGCCAAACAGCTAAAGATTTTCGTAGGGCATGGCTGTGGTCATTTCATCTAGCAGGGGCTACCGTGCTGGATAGGGGATGATTACAGTGTCCCAGAGACTGGTAGGGTGCATGAGGGTGGGGAGGAGACTGGGGTCCTGTCCCCAGCTGAAGGCCACAGAGATTTGAACTCAGAGCTCTCTACTTCATCCCTCCCCTTCTCAGCCAGTATGTGAAGGCAACCAGGAAATGGATAAATCATTCTCTGTCATGGCATGGGTCAGTGTACATGCACAACCCCCAGCACACACACATGTGCACTCAGCCAGTATGTGAAGGCAACCAGGAAATGGATAAACTCCGACTGACATGTGCAAAAGCTGTGTCTCCCAATTTCGCTACTGTGTTTTGCACTTCCCAGCAATCACTAGGGGTCCTTCTCTGTCATGGCATAGGTCAGTGTACATGCAGAACCCCCAGCGCACACACATGTGCGCACATGCACAGATGGCTTGGGCACCTTCGCTTCCTATGATTTCACAGAAAATAGCAATGTAACAGGAGTGAAAAGCGCCCAGTGGCCGGTTCTGCACACATGCACAGATGGCTTGGGCACCTTCGCTTCCTACAATTTCATGGAAAATAGCAATGTAACAGGAGCGAAAAGCGCCCAGCGGCCGGTTCTCCATATATCCACCCAACACACAACTGCATTTTTTCCCTTTGCACCGCTTTCTTTCCCACTCCTTTGCAAGCCCGTGAGATCTCTGGCTCATGTGGTCTCTAAGGGTGATCTAAAACAGATGGCTTGGGCACCTTCGCTTCCTACAATTTCATGGAAAATAGCAATGTAACAGGAGCGAAAAGCGCCCAGCGGCCGGTTCTCCATATATCCACCCAACACACAACTGCATTTTTTCCCTTTGCACCGCTTTCTTTCCCACTCCTTTGCAAGCCCGTGAGATCTCTGGCTCATGTGGTCTCTAAGGGTGATCTAAATCCCTAGGTCTATCACATGGCATTGTGCAAGCATGCTGGAGCAGTACTGCTGCGCAGTAGCCATCCGTTCACATACTGCGTGCGTGTGTCTGCACGTGCATGCTTGGGTGTTTGTGCAGCTCTTCATCCTTGAGCCCTGAGCACCCCTTCCTTATAGAACACTTTGCAGAACGTTCTTCCTCAAATACTGCGGCCCAGAGTCATTGGCTGTGTCAATCTTATGGGGATCTTCCATTTCCCTCCACAGAGCTCAAGGCTTTCCTCTCCCCCACTGGATCTCTGCCACAGTCCTGTGAGCTAGGCCTGGCAGAGTGAGTGTGGCTGGCTCAAGGTCACCCGCTGAGTTTCATGGCTGAGTGGGGACTGGAACCCAGGCCTCTCGGGTCCTGTTCCACTGCCTCCCGACTGGCAGAAGACCAAAAAACTTTGGTAAACCATGTTCTGAAAAGTCCAAAACCAACCAACCAACCAACCAACCAACCAACCAACCAACCAACCAACCAACCAACCAACCAACCAACCAACCAACCAACCAACCAACCAACCAACCAACCAACCAAGGCAAGAAAAATGTGGACTGCCTTTTACTGGCGACAAAGACCACATCATTGGGTGTGTAATCCAGTAGGGAAATAAAGAAGGATGGTGGGCACTTAGACAGTTCTCATGACACCAACAGACTCTCCTCCATCCCCTAGTTCATTTACCCTACCTTGCTTTGTTCCTGGGTTTCCGGGTAAAGGATAATTTCTGCATAGCCCTTCATGGCCGTCAACGAAGGCGTGGGGGACGTGGACAAGATTCCGGCCCGCCCAAGGCTGCCACATCCCCCCACCTCTTGCGGCATCAGTTTCTCTTTCTCTCTCTCTCTGTTGTGGTAACTGCTCTTCCTCCTTTGGCTTCCTGGGTTTCACCACATTGGCAAGGAAAGAACGCCGGTGGGATTCTCCTGGTCCCCCTTGCCCTCTTCAACGATGCCCAAGGCAAGGGTCAGGAGGACTGTGTCTGGAGAGCCTGCCCAGGGAACTGAACCTGCGGTGCCTGGCGTTGCTTCCACCACCCCCCAGGACCATTCTGGTCCGCTGGGCTCCTGGAACAAGGGGCCCTGTCAAGCTGCTGAGCGGTGCAAGAATGTACCAGCATTAAAGTCACCAACCTTCTCTCTCTCTCCCCCCCCCCATGCCTTAATCCATCTCAGCTGAGCAGGACAAGGTCAGGGACCCTTGGCATCCACAACTCGCAGTCTTAAAGGTGCAGCATCGCCAATTGTTTGAGTCCTTTTCGTCGCCTTCCTGGGAGCCGAGAGCCAGATAGATTTCCTATTATTTTTCAAGTCCCACCCAGGTTGTGTAGAACCCCAGGTTTTGGAAGAGCTTTGCTTGGCGAGCTTTGCTGCTGTCCATGAAAAGCTGCACCTAATAAAACATCTTTTAAGGTGATCACATGGTTTGGGTTATAGTTTGACCGGGTCATGGAAAAATTGCAGGCAAGAGGGGTTTTCCTCAAGCCAAGATGGTATATAATGTGGGGATGAGGCAAATGGCAAGGGACTTGAGTTTGAAAGAATCATTATTGCCAACACAACCTGCTGTGGTGGAATCCTGTAAGAAGCAGTGGTGTTCCATTCTAGAAGCAGTCATGCTTTCTTGCTGCGTCCATGTTAAGGCCAGGAGCATCCCATTATTTGACATTGGAAGGTTGAAAGCTGAGATCAAAGCCTTGGGCTCCTCGGTAGTCCTAAAGTGGAGCCATTGAAGGCTGGGTGGCCCAGGAGCTGCTTCTGGTCCAACCAGTTGTGGAAAGACGCATGAGAGAAATCTGGATGAATGGGTCCAGAATCCATATAAAACCTGGATAACTAGTGAACCAGACATCCATAGATCATGGGGCCAACAGGCCACTGGCTTCTCCTAGGGCTTGCGAATGTTCACCAGAAACCTATAGGGAGATCCCCCCATAGCTGCTTCCAGGGCTTGTGGGGGAAGAAGTCTCATGAATTGTGACCATTGTGCTCCAGAAGGAATGGAAAGCAGGAGGGCGCTCACTGTCAGCAAGGTTGGGAGCCACTGCTCTAGATTGCATTTGCCATTTGGTGGTGGAAGAAAAGATCCCTGCAAGGGTTTGTTCCAACTCTGCCATACAACCACACATCTGGGTGGAAAATGCCGTTCCCAAATGTTTAGCACTGTGGTTCCCAACCTTGGGTCTCCAGATGTTCCTGGAGCAAGACACCCCAAAGCTTTCACCACTGGCTGTGCTGGCCAGGATTTCTGGGAGCTGCAGTCCAAGAACATCTGGGCACCCCAGGTTGGGAGCCACTGGTTCAGTGCTACCAAACGATAGCTTAACCGACGAAAGGTTTAATTAATGAACGGATTGCTTAAAACCTTTCAGCCACGTCAGCCTTTGCCTCTCTCCGACGTTGGCGCTCCGTCCAGCTTTCGCAGGGCCTTGTTCTGTTGCTAAGTCAGGTGCATTCCAAGAGACTCTGAGCCCAAAATCTGTTTTTCCCTGCTGCTAAAGCAAGAGAGAAAGAGACCATTGTTTGAACACCAGCTTGTCCAGGAGGGAGGGAAGGAAGGAGGGGAAAACCTGGCTCTCATGAGCCCTGGCGGTCAGAGAAGGGTGGTTGTTTAGAGATTATGCAGGAGGTTTGTGGCCCACTCCCTCATGGTCTTAAAGACTCCCTGGGGAGCTTTCGTAACACAAAAACAAGGTGGTCACTCCAGGCCAGAAACGATCAGGTGCGCTTCAGAAAACAGAAACGGCCCCTGGCAGCTTCCGTAGGTGAGACGAGTTATGTCCAACGGGAGTAATATGTTTATTGTATTCTAGTTTATTGTAGTGGAAAGGGTCTTGAAATGGGATTCAAAACACCTGGGTTCAAGTCTCCTCCAGGCTATGATACTCATCTTGGGCCAGCCACCTAATCTCAGCCTGGCCCACATCACAGGGTTATTGTGAAAGATGAAGTGGAGAAGACAATAACCTTATTAGAAATGAAATGGGGTACCAATGCAACCAACAGGGCTGACCTGGCCCAGGTAAGGAAGGAGATTGTGAAAAAATTTAGAATAAAACTATTAAGGCAGCAGATGTTCTATTTCTAGCTTCATGGAAGGATTTTCCGCACGGCATATTGAAATGGAGCTGGAAAACCCACTTTTAAAAATCCCTAACCAACAACTTTCAAAAGACGTTTTGGTAAGAGACATTATATTTATATATCTTTATTTTATCAGTCCTTAGCAGCACAGATTAGTCTTCTGTATTGTTATAAATACTTCCAGGGTGTACTATCAGAACCGGCCACTAGAGGGAACCAGAGAATGGTATTTTGTGTTTTTCTTGCCTGCTGGCAATGGCACTTAAATACTTCCAGGGTGTACTATCAGAACCAGCCACTAGAGGGAACCAGCGAATGGTATTTTGTGTTTTTCTGGCCTGCTGGCAATGGCACCGCCATGTGTTAATAATGCACAGCACAACAAATTACTTGCAACGATAAAGATGATGGCATCCTGGTTGCCAAGACGTCATGAATAATGCATGCAGTTCCTTTTAAAATGTAATATTCTGAACAGCTTGGAAGATGCGGAGCCTTCCCAAACTTTTCTGGCTGGGCCAATGAGCTAAAGAAAAGACGGGCTCTGGGTTGTATTTCAAGAACGTTTAAAAATATGAGCTTTCACTTCTTAAATTGAGCATCCTAAGGCTGGGGAAATGAAGAAAGGGAGCAGGTGTTTAATTACAAGGGACGTACTGAGAAAAGACAAATTCGATCTTGTTGTTTGTAGAGCTGGTGCAGCCAGATCATGGAAAAATGACTCCAGCCCTAATTATTTAGAGATAATGATCCCTTCACAGACGGGGAAAGCATGCATTGACCTGTCGTTCAAGATGGAGATTTCAGCAATTTAATATTTCAGAACCCCTGTGGGTGCAAAGGAGACGGTGGGCCTGGGTGAACTGAGAATGTCTTTCTCTAACCTGATTCACTTCACATTGTACAGGTTTCCAGACGGAGAGAGATTTTTGTCTTAACATTTGTCGATGTGGGCCAACCATCCAATACAGAAAGGTTTGTTATTCTTCCTGAGGGATACTGTTCATACTGTATCGCCCGTTTTGCTCTTGGCTGCATCCAGGAAGATTCAAGAGAACTTCCCACACCCCCATTTGTGTTCTGAGCCCGTATTTATTAATTCATGATTTATTATTTCAAATTCTATACCGCCCCATCAGTACGAACGCTCTCTGTGGACTTCATAACCCAATAAAGCATAATTACAGTCATATAAACAAAGTATGATAAACACAATAAAAAAATCTGCCTCTGGCTGGACCTAGAAAACCTGCATTTAACTCCGTTAAATAAATTTAAAACAGATTTGGGACATCCCAAGTCAATTAGCAGAATACTAGTCAAAGGCAGCTTGATATAGTTGGGTTTTAATTAACTTCCTGAAAACGGAGAGGGATGGCCCCCGACGGACTTCTGTAGGGAAGGGCCACGACCAAGAAAACATGGTTTTTTGGCTTTCTTAAGCATCACCATTTTTAACATCAACATCCCACGCACTGTGAGGAGTGTGTGGGATAATGGCTAGCTATTTTGTGGGAGAGACATTCTGACAAGTATCAAGGTCCTTATAGGTCACGACCAGCATCTTCAATAGGGCACAGAAACGGACCGGGAGACAATGAAGGAGTTCCAAGAGTGGGCATATGTGTTCATATGTGCCGGTACCTGTAACCAGTCTGGCAGCTGGATTTTGGACTGGCGGGAGTTTCTGGCATTTCTTCTCTATTCGGGGGTGCAGCTGGACAATCAGTCAGAGATGATAAAAAGCACTCTTGGCTAAAGCAGATATTTACACCTCTATAGAGAGGATTAATTTTAACTTTAAAAAACAGCTTATTTTTAGATGTTTTCAAATTACATAGAACAGCTCCATACTATGTTCTTCTTAGTTTGAAAATATTTTCACACGCAGTTGTGCTTTGTATTTGTACTGGTATGCCTTGCAAGACCTTATAAGCAATACATTTTTTTTGGACTGATTCACATGGTGTTTTTCCTACCCACCCTTCCTTCCGAGCCATAGAATTGGTTTCAACCTTCCCGCACAATAATTTCCCCAATATTTAACACCTGGATGTGGCGATTCCTCAATAAAGGCAAAAAGCTAAAGGGTGCAGGTGGTCCCTTCTTGACTGCCAACCTCCACGCTTAGGCCTCAACCGGTTATTGCCGACTAAGGCATCTGGGGAATTGTAGTATAAAAAAGTAACTTCTCAGGATCTGCATGTAATGGGTGGAAAACAGGCCTCTGACAACAACTCAAAGACACAGGAAGGCACACATGGACAAAAGGAAACCACCACATCCAACGTACACCCAAATATACACACAAAAAACCCAATGCTTCGCCAAGCTATAATTTTATTTCTGTACATATCTCCCTTGTGGAGCAACACAAGTTCCTTCCCTAACCTTGCTTACACAGTAAACAAGCTGTTAAGTCAAACTGAAGGGGGTAAAAAACAACAACAACACCCACTGAGACAGGCTTTCTTACACAAACCATTTACACCTTGGGTTACCATCCATCCTTGGAAGGCCTTCGTGGCCACCATGTTGAAATGGAGTGAAAAGAGATCAAGGAAGAAGTCGCTGGAGCCCCACCTGGAACGTCATTGGAGGAGGGTCAGCTGAAGGAAGGGCTGAGGGGGAAAAGGAAGGATGAAGGCTTTTGAGGCTGTCACGAGCCATTTTTATTTACTTGGCTAAAAACAAATAAATATTGAGTATGCCCACTTATGCACCTAAGAATAATACTCTGCCCGATTCAACGTAGGGACTTTTGTCTCTTTACTTTCTTCTCCGAGATTCACACCTTTAATAGCTTCATTCCAGGAAGACTGGGTGGAGAGAGGAAAATGAAGATGTGTCGGTCCCTCGAGCCCAGCACTGAGGGGAAAGCTACACCGGGTGGATTTCTGCCCATCACAAAAAGCTGTTCATGAGCCTTGGTGCGCTCCTTCCTGCCAGGTGCCGACATAAGACTCAGACATTGGGCTGGAAAACTTCCATGTCAGTCTGTCTGCTTCTCTGTCTCTTTCTGTGTACAGAATAAATATATGAAAAGGTGAAAACAACTTATTGACTGTTGTCGGCCGATCAAAGTCTGCAGTTTCAAAGGTGGCTCTGTTCTTTATCTCGGAGAGCCACGCGGTGTGGCCCGGACAATCCATGGCCCTCACACTGTTCGTGGTGTAGGCTCGTTGCCACAGGGAACCAGAATTTAAAATGAAACCTCAAGAGCTGCCTTTAGGGAAACACAGTCCAAGCTGCCCAAAGTACGTACGATTCAAGAGAGCAGGAGGAAAGGATGCTCGCAGCTTATATCCCTTGCACGCCTCCAAAGAGTCACATCGACACACAGAGAACACCTCCTCTTTTCTCCCTTCGGATGGCTTTAAGGCACGGCGGTGAAAACAGACAGGTTGGAATTCGCCCGGAGCGCAAACGCTTGGGCCAGGCTCCATAAAATCCAGCCAGATGGAAGCGCTCAAGGTTTATTAAGAAAAGGGACTTTTTGTTTTTGTTTTGAAATGAAAATCAATCAAGAAATGCCCCTCGAAGTGCAAAGAGGTGCGAGGACACTGGCTGGGAGGGTCCGTTGAAAGCCAGCAGATGTGCGCTTAGGAGTTCTGGAACCCATGAAGCTGCCCCCCCCGGGGGGGGAAAGTCTTGTGTGGCACGAATGCTCACGGAGCAGGATCTCTCGGGAGGTTCACGAGCCACTGCGTTCCTCCGTTGGGAAGGACCGCTCCCCACCCCAAGTCCCACACCTCCGGTTCAGCTTAAAACGTAGAGATGGGCGGCACCCACAGCTGGCCGGGTGTTGCAACTCTTGTGACGTTTCTCATCCCTTTCCGACGTGCAACCGATTGCGGCCACCTCCAGCGGGCATGCCGTTCCACGAGAAGAAGGGCACGCCAGGCGCCTGTGTCCCAACCGTCTGGGGGCTCCTATGGATAAAATGGGACAGAGAGTTTCCTGCCCCACAACCGAGCTGCAGTCTACGGTTTATTACACACCAATGAGGGGGAAAAAGAGTATGGGAGAGGAATAATGGACAGAGAAAGGGGAAACAAACAAACAAGAAAGAAAATTGAAAAACCACCTCACAGCAGAATTTCTGAAGCTGTGGGGGTGCCCCGGACCCCTCTCAACTGGGGTCTTCTCTCCGGGACATCGGCGGGGCCAGTGGGGCCCACGTCTTCTTCCTCAGTCATTAAAGCCGGAGAAAGGCACGTCCGTAAAAGTCGACCTCTTAAGCCAATGCTTTATTAGAATGTCCTTCTTCTTTTTTTGTGTGTGTTTTGCTTTTGAAAAAAAAAAGCTTTTTTTGGGAAAAAAAAAAGGAAAACAAGTCCATGAGCTGGCACTCAACCCTTTTTCCTTTTTTCCTTCAAGGCTTTGCGGTGGTGCAGGGCGGGCGGGCGGAAGCTACATTCGGGAGGACGGGCTGGCCAGCTCGTAGAAAAGCAGGTAGGCATCGCTGCTCCGGACGTGACTGGAGGAGAGAGGCGTGACGCTGCAGGGAGGATAAAGAAGGAAAAAGCCGTTAGCGAGCCAGGCTCGTTGCAGGAAACCATGACCTCCGTCCTTTTGTGCCGGGATGCCTGGCATGGATTCCTTCATTTACCGAAGTATTTCTAAGCTGCTTGATAGCAATAGATCTCCAGGCAGAGGAGGATTGATAAAATCAAAATGAAAGAAATGAAAACTCCTCAAGGATTGTAAAACAATTGAAAACTTTTTTTTTTTTAAAAGAACTTAATGGTCAGAATTCTACTGCTGATTTATGTGTGCGACTTAACGACTAAACAACAACAAAAGGGAAACTGCCCAGACAGGAAGGCAACCCGGATTGTGCGAAATTGCTACAAAGATTTACGTCGTTTCCATAACTCAAGCACAAATCAGCATCAGGATTCAGGCCTACAGCAGACAAAAAAACTATAACGACTATAACCTTTGAACTGCAGAGCTGGAAGAGATACTATGGGTTACTGAGTCCAGACCTTGTTAAGGAGGCCCAGTGGGGGAATTGAACTCCCCACCTCTGGCTTGGCAGGCAGTTGCCTTAAACCACCAAGCTATCCAACAACAGGAAACAGAAAGATTGGAAATGAAGCCATCCTCTTTCTAAGGGATAAACAGCTGTATTGGTGCCACACACCCACAGTTAGTGTTGCCTCCCAATTGGTTCTGATCGCAGCCACAACTTTGCACACACAAAGAATGTGGTTTTTGCTCCAATGCCAGTGGAAAATTAAGAGAGAACTTCGATTGGACGCCTATCCAGCGTTTAAGTCTGCTGCTGATCAGGGCATGGAGGGGTCAGCAAAAAGGAGTTTGGTGGGTGCCTTCGACCACCAGCCCCATCAGTCCCAGCCAGCACCACCTGGCTGATGGACCCCTCCCCCCTGAGGGATGATGGGCAGTGTACTCCAAAAGGTGTGGATGGAGGGCATCAGGTTGAGTTCCAGCAAAATTTAAAACAGAAGTCCTTAATATAAGCCAAAGTCTTTTTTTAAAGCCCAAGAGAAAAATCACCTTTGAAACAGATGTGCCTTTAACACTTTGAAATGCGGAGTTAAAAAAAACAACAATATTAAGTTTAGCTTTTGGTCTGGAGGAGCTTTTCAAAAATGACAAATGAATCTCACTGGCCTTGGGGGGGGGACTTTCTGCCCCATATGGGCACCGGATCTTCAGACACAGAAGAGTATTTTTCAGCTCTGGGAGCCGAGATGGTTTTGAGATTACAAGGTTCGGATGGGGAAACCCCCAGCATGGCACAGAGGCCTACGCTCTACCCCGAGCTACCGGTCCCCGCCTGGCACCAGAGAGCCGCTCCGATCCCCAGCGTTACCGTGAGTCATTGAACGCATGCCACTCTCCGGAGATGGGGTTTTTGCAGTAGGCGGTGTAATGGCCACCCATGGTCGTCCCGCTGTGGTTGGAAACGGCGTACAGGTTGTAAATGGCGTGGTCTGCAGAGGGACAGGTTGGAATAAAGTTAGAGTCGCAGGCATTTCCCCCCTCACCACCCCCCATGCTGATGTCTGAACAGGTTTGTATCCTGGGTGACGGATCCTAGCACTCCCCTAGCTGTTGGACTGCAGATCCTATCAGCCCCTGGCCAGCACGGCTGGTGGTAAAGGATTATGGGATCGGCAGTCTGAAAACAATCCGAAAACATGCCTGCTCAAAACATCTGAGGAAACCCAGTTATTCCACCCCTTCCTTGCAGAAAACTGGTTTTTTAAACCTGTTTGATTCTCTAAACTTCCCAAAATTTTTAAAGTGGTGAGTTGAAGTTTTCGGCTTTCAAAGAAAAGAAAGGGGAGGGGGGAAACAAAAGGAAAATGTCAATGCTTTCCTAATCAATAACATAAGTTTTCAAGAGTCTGTTTAGATAACAAAGGGGGGGGGGCGAAATCACTGATGGATTACTAAGGAAGAGAGAGATTGTGACGAGGGTTGTATTTGAGGGCAATTAAAAGCGTCCCCTTCGTATCCACACTGGAAATGCTTTCTTTCTCCTGTGTCCTCAGAGGAGCAAACAGCTTCATACCCTCAAAAAGTGTGTGTGTGGGGGGCTGTATGTGGACAAGGTGCTCTGATGGGGTTCATTCCACTGACCCTCGCACCCCATTTCTTTATTCTGGCTCTGTGCTGTTCAATTCTCCCGGCTGAGGGAAGACCCCTGAAATTATGCCGATCCCGTCTTCCTGTGATGCTCTCCTCCCCTTCTCTCCTCCTTAGTCTCCCCTCCCAAATCCTTCTGCAAGCCCCCCCCCAGCACCCCTCCCATGTTCCCCCTCCTCCCGAAACACTCACTGCAGCTGTGGGAAGCAAACTCCCTCAAGTCCAGGTCCTTGAGAGGGAAATTAACAAAGGTGGTGAGCTTGCTGGATCGCATCCTGGCCTCCGAAAAACGCTTCAGGTCTGGGGCAGGTGGGGAGATGTTAAGGAAGACAAAAGGAAGATGCAAGGAAGGGGGGCAAGATTGGGGTGGACGATGGGCCTTGGACCCCCCCCCCGCTCCCTGCCCATCCCCAGAAAGTTGCACAAGAGAGGACACACAAGGGCATAAAATTTTACTGTATACACTCATTTGCATGCACGGATGAAAACCTTTTTTTTAAATGTGGGGTTTTCTGAAACTTAACTATAAGTGCATCAAATTTTTTGCAGGTCAGGCCAGACACAGACCAAGTGACTGATCTGGATGTGGTTCCCTGTCAGAAGATGGGTAACCTCGAAGCTCCGACCTTTGTTTCAAAGGTTGGCTTTTCAGCTTCACAAGGACTAGAACTGGGGGGGAGCCCTTCTCACAGAGGACACCCTCAGCAGGAGAAGGGTTCCCCCTCGCACCTCTTCCAGCAGAGGACTTTCTGCCCTAGAAGAGGCCATACTCCTTTGGCACCTTCCCTTGACCGATTTTTCACCAGGGGGGCAGAGAGAGAGAGAGAGAAAAGGGCTTTTTATGGCTCAGGCAAGACTGCGGTGTGTGAACCTCTATCATCAGAACGAGAGACGGGCGGGATAAAATGACCTTCTGGGCGGGCGGATCCCGCATGGAGACCACCAGCCATTGCCCATCCTTTTTTGGTGATGGGAGATTTTGACCGATTTTTCACCAGGGGGGCAGAGGGGGGGGGAAGGGCTTTTTATGGCTCAGGCAAGGCTGCGGTGTGTGAACCTCCATCATCAGAATGAGAGAAGGGCCAGATAAAATGACCTTCTTGGCGGGCGGATCCCGCATGGAGACCACCAGCCATTGCCCATCCTTTTTTGGTGATGGGAGATTGAATGGGTTGAGGTTGCTTCCTGTGGCCAGACAGGGGAATCAAGAGCGCCTCTCTTCCCACGTTCCTCCGGCCAGTGGTATGGGACTCATGCGCTGCCTTCAGGAGCCAGAGGAGAGCTTGAAGCTGCCCGGCCCGTGATCCCTTCTGGCTAACCCTGGCCTGAAGGCGGCCGCGTCTAAGAAGGCAGGAAAGGATACGTAGCACCAAGATCTTGGGGAACCTTTGGAGGCTGAACTTCTTCGTACATTTTGTCCTGGCCTTGCAATGGCAGCAGGTCTGCGGGGAGAAAAAGGAAGCGCGATAAGCAGGAAAATATCTCTAATATATCTCTTTTATACCGTATTTTTCGCACCATAAGATGCACTTTTTCCCCACAAAACGGGGGGTGGGTGGAAAGTCTGTGCGTCTTATGGAGCGAAGAAAACAGATTATATTTTCCTGTTTTCTTCTCCTAAAAATTGGTGCATCTTATGGAAAGGTGCGTCTTATGGAGCGAAAAATACGGTATATATAAAAGCCGGTGTAATTCCCTTCCAGCTGCTCCCTCCACCTCCCCAGTTAGTTCCCTTGTGCACTTCCACCTTCGACTGGATCGGCCCCTTACCGGTTTCTCGTCTCCGTCCAGGACATCTTCCTTGGTGAAGAGCCTCATGCAGTCCATCAAGTTCACCTCGCCGTAGCTTTTCTAGGAAAAGAGAGATGGACAGACGCCCGGTCAAGGGGTGAAAGTTGAGAAAGAACGGCTTGCCAGAGCTGATGACTTGGGCAGCGGAGACTGGGTGAGAGGGGAAGGAGGAGGGAGGCGAGGGCGTGACGGAGGGCACACGCGTTCGTTGGGCTTACCTTGGCAATGGGCAAGGAGAGGTCCCAGAAAGGGTCAAAGGCCGTCGAGCAGTGCCCGCAGACGCTGCAGGTGAGAGAGCTCTTCAGCTGCCCAACGAAAAGATCTAAAGGGATGGGAAAAGGAACAAGGGGTCACTGTGGGCCAAGGGAGAAGCCATCTACAGCTGCTGGGCATCACAGAAAGCCCTTGGATCAGGTGCCCTTAAAAAACCTGACCCCTTCCCTGCAAGAAGGAATGCCAACTCATGCCCCCTTCCACACCCAAATGTAGGGTGGTCAGCAGCTGGCAGCCTCAAGGTTAGATCTGGCCAAGAAGGCAATTTTATCTGGCCCTCGGCATCCCTAGCAATCGGCTTCCTCTCCTGACCACTCAGGACTGGTATCCTCTGATAACAGTGTTTGAGCCTGCTGGTTTATGGTTTTCTTTACCCGTGGGCCCAGATCTTTCAGATTTCATCTTGAACCTCAGAGGTTCCCGAGAAAGCCGTTTCCTGGTGCAGCTCTGGATTCTCCTTTTCGATTGGTTTCAGCTACTCTTGAAACACTGTGGGCTCGCAAGCTGATATGAGACCCTTTCCCCCTTGTAGTAGGGCCATTTCCTTAGATTTATGTCCCTTGCCAAGCAGACTGGTAAGCATGTTTACGTTCTAGTGACCAGTCATTAAAATAAGTGTGCTAAATCCAAGGCACAAAGGTGAGAAGAGCTGCGGGCTATGACAAACAGACCCTATTTCACCACTTGAGAGAGCACTGCTTTTATATACGTGCCAAACATTAAGTTCAGTTGCTCTCAGGCCTTCATTATCTTACATCCTACCAATCACTCTGTTGAAGAATCAGAGTTGTTTCTATATCAAGGAGGACTGAATGAAATACTGTTGGGCACTTAGGCTGGGCAGATAACTTAATTTTTAACTACCTTAGCTAAGGTTTCTATATAATATAAATGATTCACTAAACATTTTCCACTTTGCCTTTTTGTCCTGGAACAAAAGGATCAGAGTAGAGTTGCACAATTTTTAAAAGGACACAAAATGACATTAAGCAAAGTCATGGCCACATTTTTAAAAAACCACACTAAACAGATGTAGTTGTGCAAAAGAGGTCACAACGCTCTTTGGGCTGATGAAGACTGTGGCTTTGTGGAATAATTGGCAATATTGGGTCAAAAGGCAGTCAACTAACGAGAACTGCTGAAGAACCCAGTGGGGGTGCGGGACCAGAGTTTGGAAGTTCGTTTTCCCCACTGTTCGTCCTTGACTTGGGGCTGGACTCGGTGATCCATAAGCTCCCCGCCAGCTCGGCAGTTCTAAGATGATGATGATGATGATACAGTAATAGTTCACTAGTCAATTGACCGTGGAAACACTCTCTTTTGCAGTATCGATAGGACAGAGTTCAACATGAAGTTTAATCCCCACCCTTGACAATGAAAAATAAAAGTTCTGAAGATGAGGATGGATCTATGCTTTGGCCCTTTCCCGTCTTATGAAGAAATCAGAGTTTGCAAAAGTGAATTGGAAGTGGCCACACTCTCAGGGGGAACTCCGAGGGGTGATGGTAGGGTGTCACAGACCTGGGATCCTGTTGCTGCCATCCCTCTTCCCACTCCCATGAGATAGGTTCTGACATCGAGTCGAGAGCAACTGTTTGGTTCCTCAAGGTCTACAACCCAAAGCTGCATTTCCCCCTCACAACTTTTTCCATCTCCCAAAACAGAATCCCCCCCCCATCAAAGTCCTTACCCCCAATCCGGCTGTCTTCTCTGGCCAGGTATTTTATCCACATCTGCCTGCCCTTTTCTTCATCCCTGTAGGAGGTGAGAAGCAGAGAAGGTGAAATCAGCTCTCCCAAAGGACGGCGGGATCGTCCGGATCCAAGAGAAAAACTAGCATGGAAGCACCACGTAGATCCAACGCTATCCTGAGACGCACAACTCCCCCTTTTAAGCTGCAGGCGCACTCCGTCTCTAATTCTGTAAACGCCGGAAGGAATGGCCAAAGGTTGCCCCCAGGGGCTGCGATGGGTCATCCCAGGCTTTAACCATGGGAGGTGGGAGGTCAGGATGGGGTTGGGGGCACAGAGCGCAATTCCTGGATCAGTGGACGTGGGATTTTGAATTTCCCACCATACTTCCCGGGAGAGAGAACAGCTGAGATCCCCCACATCCAACGTGGGGCTCCTGTTGTTCCGCATCCTGCCACCTGAGCAGCCTTAGAGAAGCCACGCACTCACAGAGCGCCCCCTAAAGGAGGGGTTTGGAAAAACAACTCCTTGATCGCTGTAAAACCTTGGGAGGGTCATGAGCCAAAGAAGCAGTGAGAGGATGTGTAAATGCAGAATTCCTAGTCCAGGAAAGGACACGATTTCCTGTGCCTCCCTTCCCAGATTCCCGGTTCCTTTCCGCCCCGGCCTTTTGCTGCAACTTACGGGAGATGGTCCAGGTTCTCACTGCTGCCTTTGGGGCGAACCAGGACGCGGTTGACCTCGCTGTGAAGCCCGTCCAGGAGAAACCGTAGGAACTCTTGGGCGTCCTGCTGGCTAAAAGAGGAGAGAAGGAAGGATGAACGGAGAGGCTTCAGAGAGGCAAGGAAGGTGGTTAAAAATGGGGCATTCACTTCATGTCTCCGGAAGGGGAAGCTACTGACTCGAGCCACTTCACATCCTTTGGTTTCGCCTTGGAATCACACATTATAGCTAGCCTGTCATTGGAAGCTGAAAAGCTTAACACTTTAACTCTCTGTCCTCCAGGGGTTCACAACTTCTAATTCTTCTGACTGTTCTAGAAATCATCTTCCCTGTGTTTCTACTGTTATCACATGCTATCAAGTCCCCTCTCGACTTATGGAAACGCTAGGAATGAGCGATCTCCAAAGCTTTCACATCAACTGGGGGGAAAAAAGCTCAGTTCTTCCAACCGATAAACGGCACCCATCCTTACTCCATTCAGTGGAGCTTATGCTGATGTAGACCCGGGATCTACTGGATCAAACCATCCTTTACAGCCAGCAGATCCTTAGAAGCTGAACTTGCCTTTGTGTTCTGAACATGTGAGTTAGGAAGCTGCTTGTGTCTGAGCAGTCATACTTGCAAGCCCGTGTTTACCGCCTGATGACCAATCACAAAATACAGCAAGCTAGCTGACAATCAGGCATCTTTTAGCACTTGAGGAATTCCCTCTCTGAAGACCGTAGGGATCTGCAATGGACTGCCTGGCCCTCTCTCTTTTCACCCTGCTTTTGAAAATAACTGGTATAAATCTGCAGCAGAGTGGAAGCTGAAACTGATAAGGGAGGCTGTGGTCCATGCTGGATTTACATCCATAAGCCTCGTTTTAAAACAGCAGGGGAAAAGCAAACTGCTGGAGCTAGAAGCACGCTCGGGAACAAATGACTGGAACTATTTGAACCCATGCTCCCTGCAGCTCATGGGAAGCCAAAAAGGAGGAGCAGGAAACGTTCCTTACTTGTAACCAACAAAGCGGGGAGCGTATCTTTGAATCTGCGTCTTGAATTCGGAAGGACTCACAGATTCATTTGGAGATGACGTCCACAAGGCCTGGATGAGTTTGGCAAACTCTGGAGGGAGGTGGGAGGCAGCCATGGAAAGGGGGGAGGAGGAGAAGGGGGGGGGAGAGACAGAAAAGATGCCAGGTTAGCTTCCTGAAAGGAGCAGAACGGCTTTGCCCTAGACGATAACTAGGTAACTCGTGCAGAGAAAAAGCCCCAAAGTCTGGTCTGGATATCAAGAGCGAGACATCTCCCAGGTATGGATGGAAGTCACAGGGAATTCCATTTGCCTGTTTGTGATGGCAAGAAACTGGGGTAGATGGAGGGGCTGGTAGGACCGATGAAGACATACACAGGCAGCAGACATACAGATAATAATTCTTGTATGCCGTCCTGTCAATTCCAACTTATGGCAACCCTTCCCAGGGTTTTCTAGGTGCAGAATACTCAGGAATAATTCCCAGATTCTGGCACTATCCTGGGACTATGTGCAGCTTGCCCAAGGCGACACAGGCTGGCTCGCTTTACAGGAGGCCCAGACGGGGAATCAAACTCCCAGCCTCTGGCTCTGCAGCCAGACACCCTAACCACTGAGCTCTCCAGCCAGCCAGATAGATAGATAGATAGAGGTTCATCATTTAAGGAGATTGATCACAGGAAGGTGACCCAGATGGCAAAGGATCTAGAAACCTAGCCCCATAAGGAACGGTTGAGGGACCTGGGCTCATTTAACCTGGAGAAGATGGAGAAGGCACTGGGTCATCATCTTCATAGATCTAAAGGACCGTGACACAGAAGATGGAGTGAATTTGTGTGCCTCTGTCCTCCAGAGGGCAGAACATGAACGGACAGGCACCAAAAATGAGGAGAGAGATTCTGGCGAAATTGACGAAGGGCTTCTGGACACCAAGAGCTGTTTACAACGGGAAGGGAACTGCCCCCAATGAGGGCAGATTCTCCTTTTTTTTGGATGCTATCAAACAGAGGTCCAGTGACCACCCACCTGGGGACCTGGCTGTAGATTTCCTGCCCTGGGAGGGGGTGGTCTAGAGAGGACCTTTAAGACCCTCTCAGCTTTTCTAATTCTATGATCCAACACTTCTAGGAGACCCATGGATCTTGGGACGTGGGGTTTGTTACACTGCCGTCTGGCCGGGTGGCCCTGATGCAGAAGGTAGACAAAGGCAGCTCCCAAATCCATTTCATAAATGCTGCATTTTTAGCACCCTCCTGAGTCTCTCTCTCTCTGTTGCTGAGAAACTGCCACCTTTTCTTCCGGCTGCCTTCTGCGGATCCCTTCGCTCAACGACTCCCCCTCATTCTTCCCAGAGAGATGCCTTTGTCGCTAGAACCACCCCCACGACATGGCTTTCCGTGATGGTGAGGAGGACCAGTGGGGGGGACTCATCTGGCAATTGGGTGAGGACGCTGTGTGCAGGGGTGTCCTCACCCAAGGGTGCGTGCCCACCCCTGTGCCCAAACCCACGTCTCTTACCTGCCATGAGAGCCATCTGCATGCGGCTGTTCTGGTTGAGGTCGCGAAGGTACTGGTTCTGGAGGCAATAATCCCGAAGTTCTTTGGTGTTACTCAGGCACTGCAGGATCGAGTTCATAAAACACTGCGGGAGGCAGAAACCATGGGCACAAGTCAAGCCGTGCCCTGGCACACCGCTTGCCCTTCCCAACGGGGAGTGCGCCCCTGACACCACCATTTTGGAGGAAGACCACCTGCCTCACGTTGGGACTAGGGGCCACTCCTGCACCCGACACAGTGGCAGACGGGTCAAATTGGGTTCCTTAAAAGAAATTCCTGAATAGATAGAAAGTCAGTGGAATCTCTCTTTTCTCAACTTTTCAAGCCCAATTTCTCTGCCTCTGGATATGGAACCGATGGGTGATCAAGAACCGAACTGTCATGTCAGATTGAAATGTGGCATGCAGGGGACAGGGCTGGTATATAGCCAAGTTGCACCACGTTTACCCTTTCCTGCTTCGTTCTAGTGCTGAAGAAAACCCCTTCTCTCTGAAGCGCCTTGCTTGCCTTGAAACGAAAGTTCACACAAGTCCCTGGGGAGGGGTGGGGGCGTTCTCACATCCCCTGCAAATACCCACCTCAGAAGTAGGGTTTTCCTCAGCATTGCAGCACAGGGAGGAAAAGGTTAAACCCTTCGTTTCTCCCCTGCTTTGATCCTGTTAATTATCACCCACTCTTCAGCTTATGCAATCTGCTTTTTCAAAAGAAGCCGTGCATGTTAGAGGCAAAGGTGCCTTTAGCGTCAGCACCCGGGTCGGGTCCCGAGTGACGGAAGAGTGGGCGGGAGGGCTGGCATGAGGCCATTTCCTGAGACCGTTACACCACACCGCACTGCAGCCTCTCTTCACCCATGTGCGAAACAAAGGCCGAAGGGTTCCCAGGCTTGTGTCATCCGAGAAGAGGAACTGAGGTGTCAACAGCTGAGGAAAGACCTGCTGAAACCAACTCAGTGAGCACCCTTGCAACTCAACAAACAGGCTGGGGGGGGGGACACCAGAGGAGCCTGTGACTATTTATTTATTATTGGTTTACTTATATCTGGCCTTTCTCTCTGGGAAGGGACTCAAGGTGGCGTACAACAGCTGGAAAGCACACATTCAAGACCACCGTAAATTACCTTAATGTTAAAAGCTGGTAATCCAACCAGGAAAGTATATATATATGTGTGTTGGACTACAACTCCCATTGACTATGTTGGCTGGGGGATTGTGGGACTTGTGGTCCAAAAAGGGGAACCCCCTGCCCAAGCTCTGGCCATGAACATCAAAGGTGACTCGTTTCAGCTGGGCTGGGGCGTATGGGGCAGTGGCATGGAAACCACCGGGCGGGGGGGGACCACGGAGGGAACTCCTACGTGAATGTCGCCCTGGAGAACCCGACGGGCAAGCTTTCGTAACGTGGCCGCAGTCACGTCAATGGTTGCCACACGGTGACCTCAACTGGCCCCTGGGCAACAGCTGCAAGGGATCCCTCCGGTCGAAAGCTGCACCTCTGAGGAGGGCCGACCCCGAAATGGACTTCCTGTTGTATTTTTTGGGATGGGGTTGGGCTCCAGAGTCACTGTGAGGACTTCGGAGTGCCCCGTTTCGGGTTGGTTCTCGGCCATAATTGTTTTTTTTTATCCAGAGTCACTGTGAGGACTTCGGAGTGCCCCGTTTTGGGTTGGTTCTCGGCCATAATTTTTTTTTTAAACCAGAAAGCCTGCGTTGACCTTGTCGCTTCCTTCAGTTTCCCCCACCTGCGTTATATGATACAATTTGGTTTCCTGACTAACTGTATTTTGAGTTTGTGAACCTAACTCTGCCAGCCACCTCTTACTCCAGTAATTTTACTGTCTTTCTTTAAATGTTACTGTATGTTTTTAAGAGACCACATCTTGTATGATGCCTTCTCTGAACTTTATTGTTGTTCCAATTATTATTACATCGTTATCTCAAGCTCAGTCTGTTAGCTGCCCAGAGCAGTGGCTTTGCCACTAATGTTAGCTGCCCAGAGCAGTGGCTTTGCCGCTAATTGGGTGGGATAAATGAATGAATGAATGAATGAATGAATGAATGAATGAATGAATGAATGAATGAATGAATGAATAAATAAATACAGAGCAGGAGATAGGACCGAAAGAACACCTGGTGAACTGCGGAAAAGATTCAGAAGTAAAAACTCTTGTCTGCCAAGGAAGATCAGTTAGGAAAATTACTTTCCTAGACAAAAAAAGTATCTGGAACTTGTGGTCCTATCAATTCGTGGCGCAGTGGTTAAAACGCTGTACTGCAGCTAAAACTGTGCTCACGACCTGGGGTTCAAATCCCAGGTAGCCGGCTCAAGGTTGACTCAGCCTTCCATCCTTCCGAGGTCGGTAAAATGAGTACCCAGCTGGTGAACTGCGGAAAAGATTCAGAAGTAAAAACTCTTGTCTACCAAGGAAGATCAGTTAGGAAAATTACTTTCCTGGACAAAAAAAGTGTCTGGAACTTGTGGTCCTATCAATTCATTTTCTCAAGCTGTGTGTACGAAGCTGTCCTATATTAGCCAGGTCTGAGTTGGATTCCATCTGGGGGGAAATGGGTTCCCTACTCCGGTGTCTGTGAACAATTTTTCACATGCAAAAGTGCTGTACGGTTAAAGGCCAGAATCCTACAGGCAGTTTACATCTGTTTGATGTGAAATGACACACTGGGGAATTATCCCTAAGTGATGAAGATCGGTGGTAGCATTCCTGGTCAGGTGCTCAGCTGTCCCTCGAGCCCATGACCAGGAAAGTGACGAGCACCTCATTAATCAGTGATAATTCACCATTGCAACTTCCATCATTTCGTTTCTGCACGTGTAAATCATCCACAGGGCGCTTGGCGATGCTTTATACGGCTTTAGGTGTGTCACATTTTCTGACAAAGAAACCTGCCACCCGCATTTGGCTGAGGGTCCAACACTGAGGATCCTTTCCCATCCTGTCCCAGAACGACGACTCCCACAGTCCCCAGGACCCCATAAAGGATAGTTGAAAGCATTTAAAGCGTGGATAGGATAAGCACACCCAAGGGAGGCGGGTAGAGAGGAAGGAACGGACTTACGGTGTTGCCTAGGTTACGGAGGCCGGTCAAACCCTGGACTGTTTTCGAATTCTGTGGAGAAAGAAGAACACAGGGGTGAGGATGCGGCGTTCCAGAAGCAGGCCTGGGTACCAGGGGAGGCCAAGTTTCAGGAAAGGGGAGACCCAAAGCAAGAGATGGAGGTGACATATATGTATCCCAGGTCAACAAGGGCTGCTGCTCCCAGGCCGGCTACAGCCCTCTTAGTGCTCAGGTTTGTGGAAGGAGGGAAAGTTCTGGAACAGAGAATTTGGGCGGCGGCGGGGGGGGCAAAGCTGTCATCACCGTGAACACCTTCCACCAAGTTACTGCTGCCTGTTCTTACCCTAAACACCAAACATGGCAGTCTTTGAACCCTGCAGTGGCTACTATATCATATGAGAAGGTTCTCCTCTGTAGCAGAACGTCTTTCGAGATTCCTGTCTTGGCCAAGACGTTTCTATGATGATTTGAGAAGCCAGAGATTCCCCCTGCCATGGAGCATTTGGTAAAGAAATGCTTGTTTCTAGGAATATATGGTCTAGCGGTTGGATTATGACTGGGGACATTTCCTTTTGAATCCTCACTTAGCCATGAAACTGTTGGGCATTTCACAACCTCGCATGCTGCCTTCAGGTACGTTTGGTGGTGGGAGGGACCTTTCTGGGCTGGGGTGACTGTCAAGCTGTCGAGCACCAACCAATTGTTTCCATCTGCCTCTGAATTCAAAGAGAGTCCCGCCTCCCTGCTCAGAACTCTTTCCCTTTCTTTGGTCTGTTGAAAAGCAGTAATCTGCTGAAGTCTGTTACCGAACGCAGATACTGTATGTGTATCCGTTTGCTTTTCGATCTGTTCCATTGTAAGTAACGAAACCTTTTGCTCTTTCTTCTTAGAAAATGTCTCGGAGTGAGTTACAGAGACTGTAAGTGCCAGTTGAGGAGAAAAAAGGGGCGGTCTGCTCTGAGAATCCTTGTGTTTTTGCTACGCTGCTAGAGGAATTTAATCAGAAATTCAAAACTCTGCAACAGAAACTGACTGGGGGATATCGCGCAATCACACTATTTTATGCTCACAAGGAGGATGGGGAAAAGAGGAATTGGGTGGCTTACTCAGAAAAAGGTGGGATATGAACATAATGGACAAAACATAATAAATAAGCAAATATTCGCAGATGGCAGACACAAAATGGTTCTTTCTGGCTAAGCACTTAATGCTAATGACACCTATTTTATTCATTTGTCCTGTGGCTTTCCCCAGCGTCTTTTATGTGTCTTCCCTTTCATCCTAGTCTTGCTTATTTTTACGCAGACTCCCCCCCCCACGCAGACGAATTCTAAGCTCCCTGTGGACAATAGCGGTAGCGAGAATATTTTACGCCAACAGATGGAATAACATAAACATGTCCCAAAGCAGGCCATGGCAGGGAGAGGATCGTAAGCCGTCAGAGATCTGCCCCCCCCAATTGACCCCCGGCACTTTCTTTGACCTCTCAGAGAAGGCGCCAGCCTGCCCAAGCACTGTGCACACTTCGACTACAGGCAGGTTGGCAGCCGCCCTTGGCAAACTGTGGTCATCAGTAGCACCTTGGCAGTTTATCGGGTCCAGGATCTAAACCCCTGGTGCGATCCAGCTGGCAGCTGGCTGCAGGGACAGAGGCTGTACCGGCCTCTGGTAGATGGCGTGAGGAACGGAGCCATCCAAACAAAGAGGGAAGAACTTCAGCCTGCTAGGGAAACCACCCCCCCCCCAAGTTCTTGGGCATCGGTGCCATCAAAAGATGGTCATCAAGCCCAATAATGCAACTGGCAGGAAACTTAAGGATCAAGAACGCCACTCTTAGCCTGCCCATGATCTCCGCATGCAACATAGGCTCTGGAGGTGAGCGGGATTTGGGATTTGGAGGCAACTTCCCGGAGCTTGGCCAGAAGCGTTCCTTTCCCCTGCTCTCTCCCTGGGCTGGAGAGTTGCAGAGAAAGCTGTCTGGATGAGGGCAGGCTTCCCTTTCATTTCCTGCTGCTCGCCTGGACTTCGGGGTGGAGGGGGTTAAAGCGGCAGCTCCTCTCTTTTCCTCCCCCCCCATTGCCATGGCTGCCGGCACCCCAGAAAGTGAGGAGGAGGAGGGGCGGAGGAGGGGGGGGGAACGGCTGTGCCAGCAGATCCGAAATAGCAGCGCTTGGCACAGGTCGGCGGTGGGAGGAAAGCTGTGCTCCTTCTCGTCCTCGGCAACAGCTCAAAATAGACCCGCTCCAAACGGCACCTGCTTCTCACTCGAACGCGCAGCCTCCTGCTGCCTGTTGGGGGGCGGGTGGGGTGGCAAACAAGCCCCCTTGTATCCCTCACTCTGGACGTTTGGGGCTCGAATGATGGGGATTGGAGGGAGAAGCAAAGAGGTCCCTTAAAAAATGGACACCATCCAATAATAATCAATACTGATGTGCTGCTGCATTGATTCCGATTTATGGAGACCCTCCGAAGGGTTTGTGCGTCATTTGCCTCCCAAGACTGTGTTCTTCCCAAGCAGAGACAAGAGACTAAGAACGATGGGTAAGGGAGTGTTGTGCAATGGTTAGGCAACGCTGGCTTGGGAAACCCCAGGTGTCTTCTACACGGAGTCATAAAGTTCACTGGGTGAATTTGGATCAGTCCTCCTCTCGACCTGGCCTACCTCACAGGATTGCAGAGAAGATAACGTCAGTTCAAGAAGGAACTAGGAACAGCACCTTGAGCTCCTTGGAAAGTGGGTATAAAACCTCAGGCATAAAAATAAGGAAGACGGAGATGCAGAAAATGAGTCTTGGAGGAGAAGATTAGGAAAGACTAGGATGTGGGCTGCTGTTTAAGCCTTTAGGAGGGCCCTGCCTTACTTAAATCTGCCTCTTTCCCAAGACATTGTGTAGCTCAAGGGGGTGGTGGAGGAAATGCAGGACCAGGAACTGAGAGAATTTTGAGGAACAGCGCAGCTCCGAGGCAGGCAAGACAGGAAAGCTGGCATTCCGATGCTTCGGGCCATGATGTGGGGTGCAGGCGAACAGCGTCAATTGGGAGGGCAGAAGAGCGAAGGGTGGGGAAACGCTTTCTCTTGCTCCTTAGTACAGGTGTCGGGAAAGGGAGTCCAGAGCAGCTCGGAAATTCCGCACCAAGGTGGCTTCCTCTTTCAAATGGATCCAAAAGAAAGGGGTGGGGAAACGCTTTCTCTTGCTCCTTAGCACAGGTGTCGGGAAAGGGAGACCAGAGCAGCTTGGAAATTCTGCATCAAGGTGGCTTCCTCTTTCAAACGGATCCAAAAGAAAGAAAGAAAAAAAAAACCCAGCATCTTTGACTTCAAAAACCAGTCACATTTTGTGACTATTTTTTTAAAAAATAGAGCCAGACGGACTGCAGGTGTTCCCAGCAAAGTAACAACAACAACAACAAAAAACAAAACAGCATCTTTGACTTCAAAAACCAGCCAGATGTTGTGACTTTTTTTAAAAAAAGAGTCATACGGACTGCAGGTGTTCCCAGCAAAGATGGGAAAAGCCACCCTTTAGAACGATCATGTTCAAGTGTGAATTAACCGTTATTCTCAGCTATACAATAAAATCGAGAATACATAGCACCGCATGATGTCCTCCAAAAGCTAATTTTAACTTTTTTGGCGGGGGGGGATACTCCCTTTGTTATCTTAAGGGCGCTACCCACATTTTTCATTCTAGAGCTTTCACTGCAGTGCAGGTTGTCCCATCCATTCATTTTAGGTTAAAAAAAAAAAATAAGCAGGGAAAGCCATAGGGACTGGAGACAAATGCTTTGGCCGAAGAACCTGGGAGACCAGTTCAGATGCAACTTAAGATCTTTGTTTTGAACGGCCACATCCAGAACTGGACTAGCTACGATGACGTCTGACCTGTGGCCGGGAGTGGGAGGATGAGAAAAGGAGGAGAGCAGGTGGCTTTGCTATTCAGCGGTGACCCGAAGTCTCCTTCCAGATGGTGAGAGTTAGCTTGGGACGTCCAGCAAGGAGAGGAAGCTGCTCAAAGCATGCTTAACTCTTTAAGTGCTGCAAGGTGCATTCCTGACATTCACATCTGCTCTGCAACTGATCCCTAGAACCAGTTCAGCTCTTTGCCACCACCACAACGTCCTCACTCCAAAGTGCAGGAGAATTTGCTATGTCCTCATTTGCCCGAAAAGAAAGCCCGGAGGCTGACTTTGTCATTGAACAAATATTTGTACATAGTAGAGTTTTCCACGTGTGCTTGTCCTGCCTTCCGGTGCAAAAAAAGTTACACACAGTCCATCAAGATCCATTTGTTTGCGGGATACAGGCGATGCATCGCTTGAACATCCTGCGTTGGCCAGGAACACAGCTTGGAAAAAGTTCCTTTTCTGCCATTTTGCTCCCAGAATCTTGATTAAGCCCAGAGTGGTTGCTTTTGCATCTCAAAACAGCATCTGACAAGCCGCCTTCCTGAGCTGTCTTTCAGCCAGCAACCTGACTATTTCCAGAAGGGTGGGGTTCAGCATCCCCCTGAGAGTTTACGAGTGGAAGACACAGTTGTCGGGATGTGTAATCTTTTTGCGCTCTGATCCCCCCCTCCTTCCTGTAACCATGAGCACTGTGCACATAAACCTGTGGCTTTAATGCTCTCCTTTCTGAAGAAGGAGACTGGAATCCCTTTTAAAAACATGCGAAAACAGACATCTACAATAGCATAGATCTAGCCGAAAAATAAATCTGTGCCGAATCAAAAAGGTGCCAAAAAACTTCTTTGTAGTCCGACAAGGTAACCTTTCCATGCCCTGCTCAGGAATGCTGGAGCCCACAGTATCTTTGGCTGTTTTTGTTTTTTAAACCAAATTACACCCTCTTCTTCTTGTTGTTTTTCTTTTTAGGGAAGTAAAACCAGGCCTCAGGGTGAGAGTAGCATTGAGAAAACACTGCCCCGGGGTAAGCCACCCAGCGTTGCCAAGAAACTCTGGCTTTCTCCCTGTTTTTTCTCCAGCCCTGACTTCTTTCCTCTCCCTCTGCTCGGTCGGGCGCTCTCTCCGGCCCCCCTTCCCACGGGCAGCTG